CCGGCGAGAGAGAGGGCGCGAGGGCGCCGGCCGGCTGGACGAGCGAGAGGTCCGAAGCGGCGCCGCGTCGCGTTACACCTCGGTTGTTTGCGGCCACAATTCCCCGCGAAATCGGGAAACGTAAGTCCGATAATATTCGCGATCGGATTATTAGCCGTGAGGATTATTCCCGGCGCGTCCGGAGATGCGAACGAGCCCCACGTCGAAGCCCTTGATAATAATTAATTTCACGTCGCTGACATACGGCGGTCGCGATGACGCCATTTTGAATTACCATACGTAAGCTCCATTGTGGCCGCGCGGGGAGCCTGTAACCTGTCCGGACCATACACGCGCCGTACTTAATTGATCGGACAAATAGTCCGTAAACACTGATTATAGCCGCGGACTATGGCTATTAATTAGCCTAACGCGATTAATCGCTTCTCCAGGATTTATCTAAGTTCGGCTAATTTCCTCGGAATTAACGGCCAAATTTCTCCGCCGACTTCGACTCGCAATTATACCTGGAAATTCAGGACGCAGGTCTAACTAAATCGTCCTTGATAAGTTTGTCACAATTGTTAAATATCTCCGGAAGAACTATGGAAGGAAATGATGTCCGATGTTTGCTGGTGTTTTTTTTTCTTTTTAGTTTTAAGGATTCGAAATACGCCGTCGTTTCGCCAATAACCAAGGACGAACTCGGTTTCGGACGGAGCTGGAAACTCCGTAACTACGTAATCCATCCCATCTACCTGTTCCCCGTAATTGACCGTACGAAGTCGATAGACACCGATTATCCAGTGACTCTGGCTATTTGCCTAATACGATTAATCACCGAGAGGAATTCACCTAAATTATACTAATTCCCTGGGAACTAACTTCGGACCCTTGAACAGAACCTCCCTTGACCCGGAATAATTTGTGGAACTGCGAACTCCACGAGAAATCGTGGAACTATGTCAAATGTAAAATTACCGCGAACGAGTCTTTCCCGTTCCCGAAATTTCAATCCGAGATTGGGGTCTTGGTGGAAGCCGATCGTTATTGTCGAGCTTTGCGCATCTTAGTACATGGCGACGCATTTCAGTGTATGGTGACCCGTCTCCCTTTGTTTCGGATTAATTCCCAGGCTGATGTATGGCAACGGGACGCAAAACATATCGGTAAATGTCGCCTCGGATGAGCGGCTCGGATCCAAAAACGTTGGGAAGACCTGATTACACCGATCCATTACTTAGGGGTGGATTTCTGAAGAACAACGCACTCGGTCGAGACGTGATCGAGCGGCTCATGAGAAACGAACGCTTTCTCATTTGTTGTACCTCACGGGAATGTTATTCCCGTGGGAAAGGACCATCTGCGGAACACGCGTCAATTTGGGAATAAATCATTCCACGCAGCTCCCCTAATCCCGAAAATACGACATTCGTGGCGGAGCTTAAGCTGAGCTTAATTCTTCGTTCGGGAGGTCGTATGTTAAGTAACCGACGTTGATTAAATCTTGTCGGCGAAGGCTTGAAAATAAGTCTCCCTTTCTGGCATTATCAAGGGAAAAAGTATGCGAAAGTTGTAGGAAATTCGATTTATTCTAACCGGGTCTCTCGAGATCGACGTAAAGTCTCATTTAATTCCCCAGCGATTATTTATGGCCGGGGTGAGAGCTGAAAGGGCGTCTCGCCACGTGCTTTGATTTTTATTTCCGTCCTTCCAGTCGACGAGACAGCGAAATCTATGGAGAGACGTGGAAAAACGGAAAGCATGGGTAGGTACGTGCACCCGTGTCTGGTATCTTTCTTTGAAAACTCGAAATTCTATGCGGACAAAAACGGAGCTCTGCAACGCCAGACGGAACGTTGTTCTCGGTCGCCATTGTTAATCGAACGTACGGGATCGACCACGTGCGATATTTTTTCCCGACGCGAATTTCCACCCCCGAGACCTCGGGGGAATGAATGCCGATAGATTGTTGAATCAGCTGCAAACTAATGGAATTTATCGACAAATCAGAATGCGCATTGAGTATGCATTATGTACGCGTACGTGGGTACGCTCAGCGGCGAGATAAATAAATAAAAAAAAAAGAAGGATAAAATTGACAACCGATAATATATTCCATTTCGTATAATCAACGACTTAATTCGCTCTTAATTAATATACAACCTGAATTCCTAATGCGTTACGTGACAATTTCAGCTTTTGTCAACGTGGCGATATATCACGAGAGGTTTATTAGAGTTTAGTGGCATTGTATTAGAGGCGAATGAAATCCGGCCTGGATATTAGATTGGACGAGTGTGTGAATTGTGCCCAGTTTCCGGAAGTCGCAAAACCAATTTCCGTTTCGCAAATGTACCCAGAGTAGGTGCCTCGAAATTTCGGTTGAAGAACACAGTTCACATTGCCACGTCAACAGTAGACTGTTGTAATTTGATATTTTCATTACGTGCAATATATTAATATATAAAATAATCAAATATAAATATTTACACCGCTTGAATGTTGGTTTTATTCACGGGTCATGTCATCGTTCTTTGTAGTTGGGATAAATAAAAGTGCACGACAATGCCAGAGCTTGCTCGAAAAAGCTCGAGCGAAATTCAGAACGAGCGGCTCGCATTTCGGAAACAATCTGTCGACTCGGAATAGGGAATTCCAAATTAAAATATCTTTTAGACATGAAAGAATAAAGGGGGAAGTGGAATAAAGCAACGAAAAAATAAGAATCATGGGGGTCTGTTCGAGGAATGTGGACATTCCGAGAATTCCATTCTACGCTTGGAAAGGATGGGGCTTTTTCTCGTTCATCGGGGTTCTCTTTCTGGCCGGAATGTATGGTTATACGTACTACAATGTAAGTATCCAGTGTTTATTAAAAAAAAAAAAATGTTCCCAATAGTCTTACCTATCCACTTTCATTTAGAGTGAACATTCTTGCCCTGCGATACATAATCATAAGGACGCGTTTTTCACTCTCTTTATTTTCCATAGAAAAACCCCTAACTTTATAAATCCTTGGGAGTAACGACGACCCTTGGAAGAGATAAGCACTTATGCAGATTATAAGAGAACCTCGAAGCTGCCCACGAAAAGCACATCAACCCCCGTTAGGCACTTAAATTAATTTTACTTCCCCCGCATGATTTTTGACGGACCCCGAAATTACGTAATTCATGGCACAATGTACTCACCTAATCACATAAAATTATAATACATTTCTTTACAATCTACGAAACCGGTAAAAAAAATTTTTCGTTTGCGACTTTTCCCTGAATTTCTGCTTAGGAAGATAAAGAACTTCCTTCGACTTAAGAATGCAGCCTTCCTCCTGGCAGCTCTAATACATGCATGTCCGCAAATAGATGTATGCACTCCGACTTGCAGTGGGATGTAGGAGCAACGTAGGAAAATCTAGTCCATGTGGGAAGTTTCTCAGCGGGCGACATGCAGACGGCGTTATTATCACGCGTCAGAGCTTTCGTATTCGTACGATTTACTGTTCCATGTCCTGTGTGGACGGAAACAAACACCTACGCTGTAAGCTAGCTGCACAGTACAGAGAGAAGATGCGCTACATCCGCCGAAAGTTAATTATTCCACGTCGCTATCGTCACCGGCCGAAGGAAACGGAGACGGATAAGGGAGGAAATATGGAGAGAGCAGAAAAGGGGAAAAGACGGATAAATTTAGGATAGAGTGAAAAACTGGTGAAGGTAAAAAATTATCATTACTTTTATTTAACCTCACTTACGGTGTTATCAAAGTACAGGAATTAGGTTTACATCGGATTCCGACTTAGTCGACGACGAGATAATCACTTCGATGGACGAGTACGGAGATATCTCCTGCGCTCGTTTAAAATCAGGCTTAACTTTGCGAAACTGCAGAACTCGGCCAGTAAAAATAGATCGTAGCCTTTTATGAAACGGCCCTTTTAATATGGCGTTGGTAGAAAGTTACTGGCTCAATTTCATTAACGCTTCTTCCCGGGATCGCACCTCGCGTTTTATCACAAATGGAAAGGACGCGCTTATGTGGTCTGCACTTCTGAGAAAAAGATAAATAAATATAGTACGGATTTGTAGGTGTCCAATACTTAACCCAGGCAGTGAATTATCACTATCACTTTTATTGCTGACATTGTGGTTTGATACGGCCTATCGCAAGGTGCGTTAAATCGAGATATAAATGGCGCGAAGTAACAATCGCTTTATACTTGGAATATTGGTCGGAAGTATTTCGTTACTTGGGTCGCCTTTCTTGGAAAGCCAGGTAATAAGAGGTCCTACCGTCTAGGTCATTTATGATAATGGGACGAAAGAGTCTTAAGCAGAAATAATAGGTTCCAGCGGAAGTCGAGCGTCCATTAAGAAAAACCTCCTTAATACGTCGTTGAGGCGTCCATTTTCCGAATCACTGGCCCGAGCTATTTTGCATTTCAGCCAGGTAGAATGAACGTTATATGTCAAAGGCAAGAGAAATGATATTCGTTATAAACTAGTCGTTGTCTTCGACTTCCGCCTTAACCACCTACCTAGTAATGACTCGGTACATTCACGTTGATTGCACGTTCATTCACCGGAGAGTTCTAGGGGCAATACTTAAATGCTCTTCAATTTTTCATACTTTATAATTATTCCACGATCGAACACCCAACAGCTATAAATGTTCTCGACGAGTAAAAGTAACGGAATACGACTAAGTGAATTTTTCGATAATTCTTATTTGTGTGGAATTTTGTAAACAAAACGTGCGAGATCGTTACCGCATGACGCCGTCTTCCAAACTCCGATTAAGCTAAAAACTGAAATTATAAACGCGCTATTTAAAATTTCAAACGACGCCATGTGCGCGCGCTTTCCAAACTCGAGCGCCGCCATCTGTCGGTGTTACAGTGGACTCTTAAACAGGACATTCCTCTCGGCCGAACGGTTAGCTTCTCTCCGGTGCCGTCGACCAATGAAAAGCCTTCTAGTCTCCTTTCCGACGTGACGTCATACCTGCCACGTTGGCAGGAGTTCGTCTCGATCCCGGGTCCGCCGTCGAGTGCGGTTCAGAGAATTATTCGGCCCGCGGATCCGTGTTATTTCCAAACGACTTTCTCTCTCCGTTCCTGCCGGTGAGCAGAGTCTCCGAGAGAAATGAATAACCCGTCGGCGAGAGAGCTGAAACCAGTAGAAATGGCGGAGCGGTGAGCAAGTCCAGCCGCGGAGGTGCCGTTAGGAGGTTAGGATCCGAGCCAAGCGCGCAGGGGAGGGGCTAAGCTGCCACGGAAGCGAGCCCGGCCGTCACTGAGCAGTCAGTCGCGAGCAGTTCCTTGAGCTTCCTCGTGAGTCCCTTTAAGTCATTCACTGGCGGTCCGATTTATTTATGGTGTGACGCGAGGTGTTATGTACTATTATCGTTAATTATACTAATAGGTACGTTTCGGATCTAGGTGGCCGTATTTGAACGTTGACTTTTCGGAGACTGCGCGGGTGGTTTTCTGAAGCTGTATCTGTGCAGTGTGAAGCAGTGAGGCAGGGTGTCGTCCGAGTGCAGCGACCACGAGTGTCGCGGTTCTCGGCATGTCGACGACGCCGGATATGAGCCTCATGGAACTCCTCTTTGACCGAGAGGATGCTCTCCTCAAGGATGAGGTCAAAGACGAAGCCTTCATGGCCCACAGCTGCAGAGACGATGCGATCGCTGTGAGTTCCTTTCGAGATCTTGCACCGAAATGCTGTGGATGTTACGTTTAGGTTTACATTGATACGTTATGATGGGAGTTGTTTAATGCCTATGATGTTTACTTTGTAATTTAAGATAGGAATTTGTTGGTGCCCTGAGCAGTGTACCGCGAAGAGGGGGGCACGTCGTGTTTATTATTAATTTCTGGATAATTTCTATTATTTACTACAAAATTACTGAACATTATTCTGACTAAGGCAATTAAAGTCTATATACTGATCTCGTTCAAAGTCCGCTCACAGCTCTAAGGATTCTCACAGAAACTTTCTCTTTGATGCCTTTCACTCTGATATGTTTTTGTTTCTCCTGTATTTAAGTGGGTTTATTTTATGGGTTTAATGTTATACCCTGCAGGATGCACTTTCACATATTTTTAATATTTATACATCATTCATCCTTATGTGAATCCAAATTAGGTGAGTTATTGTACACATGGGCACATTTTACAAACAAATATGATTCTTTTAACGATGAAGAATCCACCTTTGTTTTCTGATGTAATCCTCAGTTATGACCAGATCGTATAATGCGAATCGTTTCATAATTGCATCGCAAGCATCAAATATTAAGCAAGGCGCTACACCTTATTTAATAAATTTCAAGCATAGTAGAATTTTTTAAATTGAGGACTTTGCATAACAAAGGTTGAAGCTTGATCACGTGTTAACGTGTAACCAAACATAATCATTAATGTCAGCTAATGTAGATATTTTGAAGATAACATGCGTACATTCATCTCCCTTTTTTTTTTATCTCAACCGGATTTGAACTATCCCAGTCTTGCTAAGTTTTTATTTTAATACAGTGCTATCAGAACTCCAGCCTACGTCAGCATACCAAATTTTTCACGACCCAGTTTTGCAATACTTGGACACCACCCTGACGATAACAAAATTCATATCAATTTGGTGGTCTCAAGATATGTTAACCTCAGAAGAGACGAATATTTAGAAAGTTCAAGGCTGCACCGAAGGAGCTTTCTGCGATTTTTGTTGCCATCCATCTTGGCAATCAGATTTCTGTCCCAGTTATTCCACGTAAATTCTGAATCGGGCACTGCGCGTGTCAGTTATGTTTAATGTAAACAGGGCCTCCATTACACGTTTAAGATACTTATTATCGCGGCAAAACAAGTGATTCATGGAAATACCGCGTTGCCTTCCCATCGGACATTTTCCTGGTGCGCGGATTTAGGATATCCCGAAAACTCGCCGGAAATTTTCTTCTCTTTGTGACCTAATTCAATTAAATGAACTCTTGGCTGGTTACGATTTATTATTAAAAAATTAATTGAAATCATGTCGCGTGTTTGACCACCGTTAAACTTATACTATACGCGATGCGTTCCGGAATCTTTCTTGCCTGGCCTAGAGCGCTTGTAAGAAGGAACCCGTTACTTTACGGGACTTCGAACAGAGTAGTTCGGACATCCCGTGTCTTCATTCCAGTGAGATCAATTTTAACACGCTGATTAAAATCCCACATGCTTTTTCAACCAGCAGGATTGCCGGATAAAAAATACTATCAGGCTGAAAATAAATCGCGTCGTCCTTTTTATCTTATTCTTTTTACTTATTCCTGAAAACGAATGGCTAAGTGTTGGGCTGTATTTCGAATCACGTGTTTTTTCTTCTTTTTTTTTTCCTCCGAAATCGCGGTCACGTAGTAAAGTCGTGTAAGTGCCGGAACATGAAGGCAGCTAATAACTGTAGTTTCTGTCCGAGGGAAATAATAAAAAGCCCGTTGGTTTTGCGATACGAGCCGCGACCTTCGGCGGACCAGCTCGTTGTATAGTTTCGCATTAACATCTGAGTATCCCCGTTTTTCCGACTCCCCGATACGAATCCGAAGATCAAAGACCACAGATAGAAGCAAGAGCACCAAAAGAAGTTAACTCATTGTCCTTTTATTTGCATTTTTATAGCGCGTCGTCGAGAACGTAGCAATTTGTCGTTGATATCTGAACACGTGCAATCAATGGCTGTTTTGCATCGAATCGTGTATCTGAACTGTTGCACCGTTGTAAGGATATATATTTTTTTTTCTTAGGACATTTCGAATGTTTTTATCACGGGTGTTCCGTCAGGTAACTAGACCTCGTTGTCTTCCCTCGAAACGGGGGTACGCCGATATCCTCTTACGTAACGATATCAGGCACTCTCGCTTAACCGCGTAGAGGAGCAGATAAAAGAGCACTCCGGCCGAGAGACAAAATGGATATTTCCATGAAATTTCGTGTTTCTGGCCAGGTTATTAGAATTTAGCTCGCACCTGTGTTCATACACGTCGTAATCAGACGTGCAGATATCTGCACGCGAGGGTCACCACGTGTGTAGACAAGTGATGGGCAAGAGCATTATCGTTTCCCTATCGCTCCCGGCACAGTCGTATCGGTACGACACCGGCTAAGGCACTTAGGAAATCACGTCAACAAATTATTCTTACGAGACTTCTGACATGGACGATGATACCGGTAGTGTGGAAAATAGAGAATAAATAAAGCCATTGGGATTGACTTTTTGTCCGTTTTGTCTCACGACTTCGAGTTATAATTTTCGGAGCCATAGTTGCAGGTCGGTAGAAGGTTCAGTCCAGAAGCCTCGAGGACTGGAACTTCTGGTCCTTCCTTAATTGGCCGTAATATGAATTATCGGTATTATTCTTCTCCAGGGACTGGGGAACTCATTCGAGTCCACCTGCCGGGAACCGATTAAGAAGTTTTTCCCGACCCTCCGAACTATTAGCATCCATTGACAAAGAAGCGGTCCAAGCGAATCGCGGAGTCGCGCGATCTTGTACCTGGCAAAAGGAAAAGCTAAAAAGTACCATGGAATTTCTCTTCCCAGACGGAGGAGTGGCCGACGAATCCGGACGACTTCCTCGACTCGATCTTCAAGCTGGACAACCAGTTCAACCTGATCGAGCAGGACCTGGAGGCGACGCCTTCCTCGTCCTCGGACAGCGGACTCTCCAGCGCCCTCAGCCTCTCCTGCGAGCAACAATTGAGCCCATTGTTGCCCATCGAGGAGGACCAGATGGAGCTAAGCAATTCGGAGCTGAGTAGTCCTCAGGATTTCGTGGACTTTGATTCCTTGAGCAGTCCTCACCAGTCCCTGGCCAGCGTGGATAGTCCGGTCAGGTCGGTCATGAGTTCGAACCTTGGATCGCCGGCCACGGATCTTACAGAAGAGGTCGACTTGGAACACGCGGTGGTCACCGTGGTAGACCCCAATGTTATCGAGGAGACCATGGAGACCATGGAGACGATGGAGACGATGGAGACGATGGAGACCATGGAGACCACTACTCTGGAGCAACCCGTTGTTCAGCCTGGTAGGTTTCCTTCTCGAGCCACTATTTTTGGATCCGATGATTGGTCGTCACTTGCACGGCTTCGAGCCCAGGCGAATATCTCGGTCCTTAACTCGAGTCGAATCGCGAAACTATTTTTTTTAACCTTTTCTTCCGTTACACCGATGTTTCTCACCTAGATCCCATTCCCAAACAACAAACCCGGATAACGCCTCAGGAGGCTTCCTTGAACCTGGTGAACCTCGCGTGCAACGGCAAGCGCAACATCCGACAATTGATCAGAGTGACGCCAGTGGGCTCCGGAAATCCGAGGTCGATCCTACTTCCCGTCAGTCTGAAAGATATGAAGGAAGTCCGCACGATAAAGATCATCAATGCCACCCAGGCGAGGAGCCTCAAAGGGTTCAAGATCAATCAAGGGAAAGTCATCAGCAAGCCCGTTTCGGTTAGTTAGTTTTCCATTAATCGGTCTGTCAGGAGAGAAAATGCGCGCACGAATTTTTTCAGGCTAAGTTGAGCTGGGTTTATACTCGTAATGATCTTGAAATAAATTTCGCATTCGCAGATCAGTATCAAGCAGGAGGAATCGGGCAGCGAGAGGGGCGGCAACTCCAGCGACGAGGTCTCGGAGACCGACTCGGCTTATCCGAAGCTGAAGCTGAACGCCGAGGAGAAGCGGCTTCTGCAGAAGGAGGGCATCACCTTACCCACCCACTACCCCCTCACCAAACACGAGGAACGAGAGCTCAAGAGGATCAGGCGCAAGATCCGCAACAAGATCTCCGCCCAGGACTCGCGCAAGAGGAAAAAGGAGTACGTTGACGGGCTCGAGGACCGGGTTAAACAGTGCACGGAGGAGAACATGACCCTGCTGAAGCGAATCAAGGCTCTGCAGTCCCAGAACCAGAGCCTCGCCAGCCAGCTCAAGAGGCTGCAGGCTCTCATACAGAAGGGTAACAAGAGCGCGCAACCCGCGACCTGTCTGATGGTGTTGCTGCTCTCCCTGGCGCTGGTCGCCGTGCCCAATCTGCGGCCACCTTCAAACTCGGCCAGCAACGAGCTCTCCCAGGAACAGGAGCAACCCGAGAAGATGCCGCCACTGGCCGGTGAGTCGATCCTTCCAGGCCCCAGGAATCTGCGACTTTCCGGCTACATGGAGAAGTCGAACGCTCGATACCGCCGAGGTACCTCGAAAGTACCTTCGAGATATCTCGCAGCCTCTTTACGGGCGGTTTCTCCTTCGCCGATCTGGCCGACTTTTCCTCCCGTTACAATCGGCCATCCACTGTCGCCCCTCCGGGCCGATTGTAGCCGAACCGCACACGTGTGATCGATTTCTCATAACTGTAACCGCACTAGCACGCGTGGCCGATCCGATATTACGGGTCGCCGCGGGCCGTTGAACCCCTCCCTGGGCTTGTGAAAGGGGCCCGACTTTACATTTTGGCTCCGTTTCGTTTTTTTTTTTTTCTTTCCCTCGTTTCATACCGGCTTTCTGGCTCCGCGGGCTCCTGGGCCTCCTTTCGGGCCAGGCAAATTTCTTCCTCGATCCTTACCGAAGAGTCTCTACGTGTACCCGAGGTCGAAATAAACGCCTCATCGTCGAAACGCTTGGTAAATTCTTAAGTCGAGAATTTCGCACGCTGACGCGTACAAATTCCACCGCTCAAGTGAACCTCGTTACCTCGGAACGGTAACGATGTTCAGTCGACGATTAGTCGCTGCTGCTTAATCTCTCCTCGTCCGATTATGGGGGATTCTTGGATGTGCAAAACTGAGTATCCTTGAAATAGGTCAAGGAAGGCGTTCGAATCGATGACGCGTTGATACGACTCTATGGGAATTTTAAATTATACTCCTTATTTAGGCGGGGCGGAATGCAGCGAAAGATGTGTTACGCTCGGATTGGCGGAGTCGCGTTTTCGGTTCGTCTACTTTCTAAATGCCTCGGAAACAATCGCATCCAGTGCAGTCGGTACCTTCCATCGGCAGAACGGTTTCAGTCCGCCGACATTCGGCCGGGGCAAAAAAGGGTAATAAAAAAAAAAAAAGAGAAGAAAAAAAAGGCCGGCCACTTTCCCGCGGTGTCATCGACCGGAAACACCGAGTGCCCATTAAACGGGAAATAACGGTGTGCCGGTTTTTTGGCCCGCTTTTTCCAAATTAATCGCGATGTGTATCGCCCTATCGCTGGGCTGGTTTACACGGCTGCCAATTATCGGCCGTTCAAATGTACCGCCAGCCAAACCTATAACCAATCTCGCTGCCTCGATATGACGAATAGCTCCTCTTTCATAGTAAGATAATTCCAGAAGTGACGAATCACCCATTTGAATAGACTCTTATCTTTACAGGACGCATCCCCTAATTAACAAACGCAGCTAGTTTTAATTATAGCTTAAAAGAAAATCCCGTACAGAATTTCCAGAAGGGAGGACATATCTCGGCCTAAGTGTACTTGTGAAAAATATCAAGTAACGTATAAAATCTCGGATACAAATCGCAAGTAACTATGGGTACGCAATTGTCACTGTACCGAGAAAAGGGACTAGTAGACTGAAAAAATGATACATTGTTCACACACATATATATATATATATCGTTGCCCGAATAACATATAGTTGCAAGAAACAATGATTTTGTTGGGAAGAAAAATAGATGTAGTTGACTAAATCGAATTTTATTTATTTCGGCATTTCCTTGGACGTATTTGATCGCAGGATTTTCTTGTCGCAATGCATAATTATTCGAGTCAGCCAGCTTTTCTTCTTTTTTTAGGGATTTTTTTTTTCCCCTTAGTGCACTGCCGCCAGTGATTATCGTCGTATTAAAATTATCTGAGGGTCGCCCGTTCCTCTCTCGGAATGCCCTGTAACAATCGTTCGGTGGGAAAGATCGGCCAGGTCTCCTTCGACAGTTCGACCACATCCTGCTGGATTCTTCGAGGGGGAGAGAGAGGTTGTCGAACGAGTTCTACGCCTTCTAACGTGGCCAGGGACCGTGTGTCGGTAACGCCGGGACTCGGTGGTCGTGGACTGTAAACGAAAGGTACTCGGGCACCGTATCGGTACCCTCGAATACAGAAACGGGTCTCGCTAGTAAGTCACGTAGGCACCTCGTATTATCATTCCCTCGGCGATGACGACGGTAGGCCCTCAGGAAGGAATGCCGCTCGAAAAGACAGCGCGTACAAACCCGTGCCAATGAACTCACGAATTACTCGGGGCCCCGGAGCGGCTCATTAAATCGGCTTCCAAATCTAAGCTTCGAGGAACCCTCCCTTTACCGTTACACCCTGGAACGAAAGGAAATGTGATGAACCAACGCGATGGGCTAGGCGATGTCGACCCTTTTAGAACCCGCTCGGACCAATATTCAAGTTAAAATACCTAATCAAGGACGATTTAATGCGTGGAGTTAATAGCAGGATTTTTTATGGTTACCGGATTTTAATCGCCGGTTAAACTGAATTTTTTTTTTTTTACAACACGAATTTCACTGGCCCGAGATTGACTAATCGAAGGAAAAGTGGCGTACGTTAATTTATGGGAATGTATTTCTACTCTTCGGAGTGGTCGAATTTCTCGACTGGGAATCCCGATAACTGGCCTCGCCCATCGATACCCTCGTCGCCGATAAAGGTCTGGTCCTCGGACGTTATCGGATTCTCCGACCCTACTCGAGCCAGCCTTATCACGGCCGTTGAACGGCGCCGTTCCTAAAGTTACTCGGATCTTTTCCTTTACATTAGTCCCCGAATTCTTTCAGGGCGCTCGCGGAGTCTGCTGTTCACGAAGCAGCTAATGGACGAGGAGCTGCACCAATACGGAGAGGAACTGCTGCAAGAGGTGGAGGGCCTCCTGGACCACGATTACAGCCCCGTGGTACAGCTTCCGCTGTACAAGCGGCCGCGATTGGACGCAGACGCGGCCCCGAAGTACAGGTCGCTCCTGGAACACGTCGGGGGGACCCTTGGGTCAAAACCAGACTTCGCCGAGGCGAAGTCTCCTCGGAAACACGTGGAGCCACCTTTGGACGACGTCTGGCCGCCCCCGAAGCCTGGTGGGCAACCGGAACCAAGGGTCGTCGACAAGCTCGAGGCCTTGACCAACGAGCTGAAGATCAACATCTCGGACATGGAAGGCACCAAGACCATCCTTCTCAAAGTACCCAGGGAACAGTAGAGCGCGACGGTAGAACGGAAATGGGTGAGCTCTCGATTCCTCGACACGAGTTACTCGTGCGCTTTTCAACTATCCCAGATACCGAATGTACTGCGGATTGTACGAATAGAGGGTCGCCGATGGTAGGTGGCACAAGAGGGTAGGCACCATCGGCGGTCGGGACCGTAGGACCATTTTAGACACTGGGAAGGAGATTCGATCGACGTCTCAGATTGTCCAATTGGACATGGCGAATCATGGTCTTCGTAGGGTTTATCGCGACTGCTGACTAGTTTTACGGCTAGGAATACTTGATATGTAAGCAGTATTTATTTCGCCCTGTCGGCCAGGACGGTCCTTTACGTGGGTCGAATCGCTCTCACAGGATGGATTTATATACTATCTAAGACTGGTTTCATAAGATCTATGTCGAATATAAAAGTTTCACGTTGGCGTGGCTGAAATTGTAGAGGGCTGGGAATAAATCTCGTTCCTGTTTTTCTCATTTTTTTTTCTTGATAGCGGTGAAACTAAAATAATGATTCTTCTTCGGGAGTTGTCGATGGAAGAGTCTTGACAAAGGCGTTATTTAACGTCCCGTGATGTGATTATTGTTTTCCGACTTTCTCAGCCGAGAGCTGCGTAATAACTGAAACGACAATGGCGAGGAGATCGATTCGCGGCTCTCTTGAGAGATCATCCATGTTAAATCCGTCATTTAAGAAGGAAATTGCAGGCATCGAGCATTACAAGATACAATGGAAGTCATTTTCTACCGGGTATTTTCAAGGAGTATCGGTACTGGATTGGGTCTGTAAAAATATTCAAGATTTGTAGCACGTGTTGCATGGATTCATCGAGTAACCGCTTAATCATTTATTATCTGAACGGCATTTCGGGTGATAAAAGCAAGACGATTGGTTACGTCGTCTCTTGAGGTTCCCTATTAATGAGTATGAGCTCTTAAAGCATGTCTATTCACCAAGTCTCATTATTCTTCCTTTCATGATACGTTCACGTTGCCTCAGGTCAAGGCAAGCTATGACATCGTAAAATGCAAATCAAAGAAATCATGTTACTCTAACCACCTTCTGTACATATGGGTTGTGCGTTTCAAATGGCTTTTTTTAAATGTTTTTATGCGCTAGTTTATAGTATATATAGTACAGTGTTATCTATTGATATCGAGGATTTTTAACGGATATACAAACGGATCATTGCTGTTGTCGTGGGAGAGAGAATTTTGTGAATACTTTATCATACGAATGGATCGCCGCGGAACTAATGTTAGTACTTATAAGAGAACATTTATTTAGTCGCGATATAGATTGATTTTCGAATTAAGTCTTGTAGTCCTACCAGCAATTGTCGAGGTCGGAACGGCTTGAAATACTGCCGGGTGAATCTAACGTTTGCTCGGCCATTATCGAAGAAGGATCTTAGTTAAAGATGAATTTATCAAGATCGTTTATTTTCTTGTAGATACAGAGAGTATTTATGCGCGGATGTGCGAGCATTTTAAGCGAGATGTAATATGTAATTAATATACATATATGTACGATATACCAAAATATGTCACGTTATATTTTATCGAATGATCGAGCGACAACGTGCGTCCGGGTCCTGTGAAAGTGTGAAAAAAAAAAAAGGAAAGATTCGTACGTCCCTACGATGGGACCGTTTGATGGACTCGGGCGATGCTAATTACTCTCTCTCAATTAATTCATGATTATTCGTCGGCGAATGGATTTTTATCGTGGCTTTCCTGCGGAGTAGCTGGATGTGCGAATAGTCCTGCTTACTCGAAATAACCACGGATTATTATTATTTTTTTTTTTACAACTGTGGAATTTCCGTCGAGCGATTGATCCACGTTCAATTAACGTGATTTATTTTTTTTTTCACCGGTCATGGAATGCCGATGTACGCGAATACAGTCGAACACTCCTCGTGGACTCCTGTGGTGCTCCAAGTTTTGCACCGGTTTTAACGATGCTTAATTTCATATGATTCTCGGCGTGCCCCTCGGGTGTTAAGATAAGCTTACTTTGCCACTGTAGATGCACGGTGATAGTGATATATTCACGAAAGCTTTGGGTGCTTGAATTGTACATGCGAAGACTGTTAACGCGACGAGAAAGTACGTCGAATTTCTGTCATATCGTGTTAACGTCTTCAGGATATTTCGTCCCCCTTTTCGTGGTCGTGACTAATTCGGCTGACGTTTCTACTCGCCTAGGAATATCGAGTACACACAATTGTAAATAAAAATAGGATATACACATAGGCATATGAAGATACATATATCAATATATGTCGAGCGAATATTTCTTATGGATCGTTGATGATACTTCTTGAGAATATGAGTTCCGAGCTGAACCGATAACGCGGCTTAACGCGATATCCTTAGATCGTGTGAAAGCGACCTGTAACGCGACTCGTATGGAAGTAACGATATTTCAAGAGCAGCCGAAAGATATTCGAACAGCATGCCCGTTTCAATTGCTGTTATCGGGGGAGCGTATAAGTTAATATCGTGCCACACATTCCTATTAGTGTTGGTTTATCGAACACGGAGCAAAGTTCTATTTTTGCACATAATAAGGAGTGGTTGGAGATACGTCTTAAGTTGATGGATCGATGTGCGTGTAAAGTATATAATTGCATAATAAAGGTTACTAAGGATTTAACGTGACTATTATTTCGAGCTTCTTGTATTATCTTATATATCTCGCGGTATTTCGCGTTGTTACCTCGCGAGGGAAAATATCGTTCCTTTGGTATCGTGGAAATAGTTTTATTCCTTTTTTTCTTTTCACTCTGATTATGCACCCCAGTGACGGTTTTGTAATATCTAGTTAAGTATCGAGAAGTATAGTTTAAATCTGGAGCAGAATCGCTACCCCGGCGAGGGTCCATTTTGTCGGCTTGTCTTTACTTTTTAGATTAAACGTCCAGACGTATGTTGGCCCTCTCGATCTTGTCTTGTAAACTGGACAGGCGTACATGTTCTTTAAATCCTGTTTGTCTTGCGTGATCGCTTTTATGTAGACTACCGGCATCTGTGGGAACAGTTCCTTCAGCCGCGAATCCACAATTGCACCGACTTGTATGTCCCATCTGGCTCCTTCCATGTACAAACTATTGACGTAAGCACCTTCTCTCGGCGGAGCACTGTAAAAGAAATTCCTTAATTTACGGCACTCCGGACGATTGCTCTATAAATAGTTTATCGTAAATTAGGGAATTATTTGGTTACTCATTGACCTGAATTCTTCCTTTTGTTTTTTTGTCACGTCGCAATGGAGGCACATCTTGTCCAGTGGCCACTCATTTTTTCGAGCACTTTGCTGCATGATGGCGGTCAAGAACGACTGGGGATTAAAAAAGCCCGCAAGCCACACAGAAGACGGGAGCTGGCGGAATGTTGTTAAAAATTGCGTTATTATAGGGACGCTGAGTTAATGTTTCCTACGAGGCTCACATTAAAATCCGTGGTCCATGAGTTTAATTCTGCAACTCTGTTCATCATGTCGACGAACCAGTTTGTCAGTCCAAGACTCGAGGGGTATGCCAATCGAGTCCAGGATGGAGGAACGGAGTCCATAAATAAAAAGTTTTGCAAGTCCTCCATGTCTGCATTGATTGTCAGCTCGCCCTGAAACGGAGATGCTTAGGGAAAATGTCGAATATTAGCGTAGCATTTATGAACCGATGGGAATTCACTTTCAAGCCGAGATCCAGTTCTCGAAGAGATCTTCTGAGCTCGCCGCATAGCATGTTCATTCTTTCACATTCCTGGAAGGCTACGATAATGAAAGGCGTCCGATCTTCGACCTGAATGGCATGCTCGGACGTTATTAGAATTTATTAAATACGCGGTGAAATTAAATATAAATTGTGTATTCACTTTGCTCATGAGCTCGGCAATGTTGAACTCCTCGGGAAGTTTGTCAAGAATATCTTCAATAATGGCTTTAACTTTGTCTTCCCTGGATAGGCCAACTCCTGTAGATTCACCCACGTCTCTGGGCTGCATTTCAAGGACGGTTCGGAACAAAGTTTCCGCGGTCATCGTTAAAAATCCTGGGAACAATTAACATTGCGAGGAATTTTTTCCTTCCGATTTTATTTAGTCCTGCGCCGCGCAAGATTTCGACCACTCGGCAGTGAATCTCTTTGTTTCTTCTTTCTTTTTTTGAAGTTAGATCCACGGTTGGTTACGCGTCCATTTATTAAATTTATTAAAATGTCCAGAAGGGCGGATAAAGATTCTACGATTTATTTGCGAAAGGTCGAGGTTTTGGAAACCAGATTTTCGTTTGGTTGGCTAACCGATTTCGGCATTTGGATGAAGCCCGTAAAGAAGGGGACTCTCTGGAGGTAAATAGTCATCGATGTACCGATGATAGGCCACGTAATCACTATTTGGCGGTCCCAAAAACCCTGGAGCCAGGTACAGGTCGCCATCCAGGAGCTCGGGTTGCAAGTACTCCAGTAAATACGTTTGACATAATCTTCTGTCCCAATCGTCGGTGATATGTCCACCGTACATAATTTCCCCGAACAGATACCTCAGATCCTCCCAAGGCACCTTATTGTTATTCTCCAGATAGTTCAACAAGACGGATACGCTTATCGTCAAATCGCCGAAGTTAAAGGGATACGTCTGTAAAACACGGCCGCAGTTAAATTAATTTTTTCGTCGTGAATGGAATGATTGGAGCAGACTAAGAAATATGAAATAACTCTGTTCCATCCCTGCGGGCCGAATTTCCGGCGTTCAGCAACGACTGCGTGATAGTAGCAGAGAGCAAATAAAATGGATTTAAATTCGGTCTCTTTGGTGCAGGCATCCAGGGTTTCTTGACTAAAATTGTCCAGAGCTTTGTGTATGTTAGCGTGCATCCCCGTAGGCGGCTCGTTAGTGATCTTTATTGCGGATTCCAAAATCCCCTGAAATATATTTCTCGAGTTAAGGAGACATTTGATTTAATTTGACTCTCAAGAAGTTACCTGCGGAATTATCGACGTGTGAGGGTTGGCACTGGGCTCGGCACTGATGTACAAACGGTAAGCCGGATGAGGGTCCTCTTCCAAAAGTTGCTCCATTTTCTTCTCCAAACTGGGTAGCCAATTTTGAACCAGATGCACATTTTGCAAGATTACCCAGTGACCGTTGGCCGCTGCAATGTCCATTGCTTGTTCAGCTACCGGTTCTTGACCTTGGCCAAGAGATACGTTGTGGAAGTTAAGACCATCGAATGTAAAGCCCAAACGCTTTCCCAATTTTTCCACGTCCTGTAGATTTTTAAAAACATGGTAAAGATGAGGCTGGTCTCCCGAATAAAATGGAATTTGGTATTTAGTCGATACCTTTAAGGGGTCAACACCAGGTGACAAGATGAAGAATACCGGAGTAATTGCACTTGTTTCCTCGTATGACTTCTCGAATGGCGGAGTCCTGGACTCGGTGAACCTCGGTCCCAATTTCTCCTCAACGAAACACCTACGATGGGATTTATGACACACTTTTCGAGAAATATTTGACTCGGCGTCGATTTTACCGAACTGCATATGTCATCCTGTCCAATCTTAGGCATCTCATCATGCACAATCTCTGCAGTGCACTTTTGTTCTTCCAATCTTGGGGGAACTTCTCTCTCTCCGGTGTTTCCGACTCGACGAATTTCTTCCACCTCTTCGCAGCCCCCTCGATATCCCGGTCTAGATTCTTAAATTCGTCCAGCCGAGTCGACAAAAATTTTATCCCACCCCAGCTGGTATTGTTAAGGAAATCTACGGGACTAATGAGATTTGGCACGTAGGGGCACCTCAGAAGAAAATCCAGCTCCTCTTGGGCTATTTCCTTCAATTGCAGTAATATCTGGAAACCCATTCTGGATGTTAGAAAAAAAATACAGAGGTACTGTTAATTCGGTTACTTGATTATTTTCTTTTTAAATTCACCTGAATGATCATTTGACAGAGGAAAATTAGTTTGTCGCTTTCGAACAGACCTCTGCTCGTGTATACGAAGACCATGTATGTAATGCTGTCTATCAGGTTCGTGACTCGTTTCGAAAGATTATCGGACTGCTTGGCGAATTTGATGGCATTTTGGAAAACGACGCTAAACGCCTTTAGGGAAAACTGGTACAGCATGTTAATTTTATTCAGGTCGTTGAGGATGAAGTAGAGAAGACTCGCTCTCGATGCGGCAGGTCTGTAGAATTCCCTTGCTTCGTCGATCTTCACCGCCGTCACTTTGGCCTCTGCTACCTTGATCTCAATTTCTGCCGCCGTCTTCTTCGTAGTTTCCAAATTAACCACGAGTGCCACGTCACTTAACACATTAGGACCAGCCGAGGAGAGTCTAGAAACGGAAAAGAAATGTTGAAAATCCGACCGGAATAACGAGATCACAAAAAGTTGATTGTTCTAATGCATGAGATGATTTCTTTCTCTTTACTTAATGATTAAAATAATACCTGTGCAAAAGATCATCTTCCAGGGTTTTCAGAGTAATTTTGAAGGTGTTCTGTTGGGTGGTCAGTTTCGCTTTTGTGGCCTCCAAATCTGGACGTTCTGCTTTCACAACCTCGCCTAACAATTGTTCCTCCAGACCATCTTTTGTGACTGTAAAATTGATGAGCGTTGTCTGCGCTTGCATTTCGGGCTTGTAGTGAGGATTGGCAAGTTTCGTTTGCAGAATTAGGCGGAACAGGGGGTTGTAATCGATTTCTTTGTCGCCCACTTTGATCGCTCTAAAATGTGAGGATGAATTAAGTGCCTATGGAAAAATCTCTGAATATTTTTAGTCACTATGGGAGGCGCATTTTCGCACCGTCCTTTCTTCACGAGAACTCGGCCTAGTATCGGGTCTAACACTGCATCGACAGTTTCCATGATATTCTCCAGCAAAACAACTTCGCCATTTACTACGGCGTATTCCAGTCGATCCAAATAACTTCTTTGCGTTAATCTTAGAATTTTAAGTTCCTCTCCGTATTTAGTTTTGATCCATTTTATTCCCTGTAATTGTGGGTCTATCATCAGGGGCCAGCGAGATGAATTCGTCAGAATCGTCGCATTTTCAGTTGACATTCGATCCATTGGCAAACCTGGAAAAAAACATAATTAAATTACTTACATACTCTATAATCGTTAGACTTTGTAATAAATTACAATTTGTTAGGAAATACCTTCGTTATTCCACTGGGCAATTTGGGCATCGTCCGTTAACAATGTTAACGGGTCGAGATCCGGTGTTCGAGGTATCTCGACATCCAGGGTGCTCATATATGGCAACCAATAAACATTCATTAAATCGTTTCTGTATTTCCGCGTAAAACATCCGACATAAGAGATAAACGCCGTCACTATGAGTACATCTCCTGGTATTGTGATACCGGATGTGTTCAATCTGAAAATAAATAAATAATTATTATAATTATTTCAGTGTTGCACAGTCTTTAAGCCAATGAAAATAATACCACTGCGAGCCAAAGAATTATTTAACATTGGAAGTTAGTAATTTTGAAAAATAAAATGCATACACTTCTACCGTCTTGGTCCAACGAATTTTCTCCGATGCCAGTCCATTGACCAATCTGTTGGCTAAGTCTATTGTCAATGCAGTCTTGTCAGCCTCCTCTTGACATTTTTGCTTCTCTGCCAAGGCGATGTCCATTTTTTCCCCCAAAACGTCCAATACTTTTTGCAACTCCTGCACGAAAGAAGAATCTAATTTTTATCCTAGTCACTAGGTTGCGGTTTAAATATCATTTCTCTAAGTCGAAGAGAAATATAAAAATTATGGAGAAATGTACGTACATCCAATCGAGATTGCAAAGCACCCAGCTTATCCATGGCTGCTTTAAGCTCGGCGTTAGCTTGAGCAAGGGCAACTCTGAGCGGTTTAACATTTTCGTTAATGTAGTGAAATACCATGACATTCTTCACCCAGCTGCACAAGCCTGCAGCCGCTTGAGATTTTGAGTAAATAAATTCTGGATCGAAATCTGTACGAAGAAGGAAATTAATTAAACCCATTAAGAACCCTGGAAATGACGTCCGCCATCTTGTACCTTTGTCGTTTATGTAGGGTTGGATAGCCTTAACGACTTCTGGATGAATATTTTCCTTATCATAGTTTCTTAACTGCGAGAGAAAAGTGTCCACAGCACCCATCATCACTTTGCAAGCCTTCCAGCTTCTGTCTTTAGGCACTTTTCCTTTCGGAGAAAACAGAACTAGCACTGCTTGAGCAACATTTGCCACTGCATCAGGCGGTGTTCCGAATGACTTCAATTCTGTCAGGTTATTCTAAAGCACGGAAATGTGCGTCTAAGTAATCTGGACATTCTTTATCAAATAGGCTGATCATAATTTTCATATATAATTTACTTTGTTCAAAGTATCCAAAGCAGCTTCGGCTTGACGAACAGCCGGCTCTGCTTTCGCCAAGTCCTCGTCACAACGTTTCTGCCTTTCGGATACTCGCTCCTTTATTTCCGCGACTTTGGCTTCCTCCTCGGTTACTAAAAAAATATATTTATTTACATTTCTCGCAAAAGGTGTTTTATAATTTATTAAACCCGTTTTGCTTTTATATTTTACGGTAAAAACGTGGGACTCTGATTTTTAGTGAAAAGGGTCTTGGCGGATTTACTTCCAGTGGTTTTTGAAATTCAGCGAAATTTCTAAGTTAAAAATAAATATACCGATTTCCTTTTCTCCCTCTGCTTTCATATTTTCAGCGCGTACTTCTGCTAAAATCTTATCCGCCACTTCGTTCTTCTTTTTCAGCTCCACCTCTTGAACCGCGAGGACTGCTTTCAATTCATCCACCTGATTAAATCAGAAATCGTTCTTTGGAGACTCGAGATTCGCAAAAATCTGTCTGTACATCGAAGAAGCCTTTCATGTTGGATTTTATATTTTATTGCCCTCGTGAGTTACCTGCCCTGCACAAGATGCTAATTTTGTCAAGCCATTTTCCAGTCGAAGGATCATGGCTTTCAAGTCGTACGTTTTCTCGGCTAGGAGTTTCGAATACAGAACAATCTGCTCCAAAAACGACTTCGGAGTTGTATAGTTGTACCGTTTCTCATTTTGCAAGTACACCTTGGAGGTTTCGTTTACGACAGTGTGCACATAGGACATGAACAAAGAGACTGAAGTTCGATAATCAACTGGCAATTCCTCTAATTCCTAAAAAATAATTATTTTAAGTAAGCAGGGCATATGTTTAAATAGTGAGTTATCACGGGGAAACAAATACCTCTAAAAATCGCGCAGATACGGATTCCAAAGCTGCTTGCGGCCAGTCTTGGAACCAGTTAATCGACGTGCAATTAACGATAGCGGGAAACTGTCTTGCCCTTTTCCGCAAAGTCGCACCCACCGGGGAAAAACAAAGTACGCACTTTAATTGCCTTCTTACGCGGTCTATGAAGAATTTCCAACAATTTTCTTTCGTGTCCATGATTCCACTCTGTTTTACCTGTACATTACGCGAATAAACCGGAACGATTTAAATGTCTCAGTGGACTCGTTAGAAATATTTCCAGATATTAACTTACCTCGCCTCGTACTCCATTTATAACGTTGTCGAGCTCGTCATCGGCGAACAAGTCGGCTATTTCTCCGGATGCCAACATATCGTTAACGACCACCAAAAATTTCTCTTGTGCTACCTGAGAATCCGTCATCAGGAACATGATTCCAATATTTTTCAACCCAGCTTTAATGTATTGTACCGCCAAGTCTGCTCTCAAATCAGTCATAGAATAGCCTTTCCTCAGTTGGATTTGGAAGACCTTAAATAATTGAAATCAATTTAAATCTCGAAGGTACAGTGGGGTTCAATCAATGGCTGATTAAATTCATCTATTTAGCAAAAGAATACCTCGAGTGAGGAGATGAATGCCGATAAACGGGATAAGGATTGTTTGCCACTTCCACCAACTCCCACTAATAAGGCGTTTCCTCTCGGCGATTCTAAAATTCGGTTAATTCGGCATACATGATACATGGCGTCATCGAACATGACCAGGCTCATTGCCGCCACCAGTTCGTTGTAATTCGTTAAAGCATCGTCTAAGAGTTTAATGAGATGTGGCCAATCCTTGATGGGCATGTACTTCGGGTCTCCAATGCCCTCGGCGAAATGGCAAAAGACCAAGGGAGGTGCGAATACGGCGTTCTCGTCGAGTTCCTAATTAATTAAGTACTCGCGATTTAATGAAACGACTTCACATCAGTAATGAATGATTAACCCGAGGAATATTCGATGATATATGAAATCGGTTAATTACGGGCACGTTCTTCCTGAGGGCTTCCATTATGAGTGCTTCAAAAAGCTTCTGATCCTCGGAATTAATTAATTTATCACTGTACACGCGGTTTGCCTCGTGGATGTACAATCGCAGGGCGGAACTCGGAGTCGGTATCGTGTCGCCATTTGCAAAAAGAACTCCCTGGAAAATCATGGATTGTAGATAGTACTTCAAGATGAGAGAGACAACCGTGTAGAAGTGTTGATAACAACCTGGAATATGTTCGACAAGTCGCGTAAGTTGAATATGTAGTGGAACTTGATGGCAGTCGGTAGGAAGGTGGACGAGATCTTCTGGTGAAGGTATATGGCAGCATCTATGATGCATCCTATCATTTTCTGGACCATTAGGTTGATTTTTGTCGACGGATTGCCGAAATGTTGCTGCAATATTTGACTGTAGATTGTCACTAAAGCATCCTGAGCAGGAAAGCTGGAGGAAAGAATTATTAGAATTTGTGTGGTTTCTTTAAAAAAAAAAAAAGGAATATTTGGAAAAGAACTGTACCTGACAGCAAACACTGCAAAATGTCTCTGAAGACGAGGATCGATGGTAAAGCTACCAGCAGTTGGATTCATACAAGATACGTATTGGGTGTTATGGATATCTTTCAGGGTCAATTTTGCCCGATCGTACCTAGAACAATTACTTGATCTCGAAATTCCATTTTCTGATAAGTGAACCTATTAGATAAGGATAACAGGAAAAAAGATGCGATCTTACCAATGACCGTAATCCATATGTTGGCGAATAAGAGTGTGAGGCTGGACGGTTCCATAAGTGTCTACTTCTGGCATGTTCATATCATCGACAAAGTATATCAAAACTTTATTTCCAGGTGGGCCGTAATTGCGACCAGCTTTTTTTTCAAGATGTTTCTCTAGTACTCTCTGCAGCATTTCTACACCGGCGTTGAATGTTAGTGATTTATTAAAACCCTTCGCTTGAATGTTAAGTAACTCATATCGTCAAGAATTAACACGCATACCTGATGTTGTGTAATAGTTGAAGGGTACATTTGCAATGTTATAGCTATCTGGCAGGCTTGATAGCTTTTCTGCAACGATCACGCTTTTTCCAGACCCAGCACTTCCGACTAGCATGACGGGCACCCTGATTTTCATTAACAAATCCATGAAAAAGCGTAATCGTGCGGTCTCTCCGGTGGAAACAAGCGTCGACTGAAATAATATTATTTAACGTCAATTTAAAATACTAATGCGTTCGTGTCAATCGTGGTTTAAATTAACCTGGAGATTATTGCAAAGTTACGTGGCACCTGTAATGGGATGTCCATGTCTAATTCAAATTTACTGATTTTCTCGCTCCACGGTAGCATCCTCTTCGTTTCTGTTTCTATAAAGTAGCTAAAGACGTTGCCAGTCGAGGGGAATTTTACAGCCTTGAACTCGTTCACCCACCACTTGGAGAATTCATTGCGCCAGTCGATGAGTTGGTCTTGAAACATTGCAGATCCGAACGCCCATATGCAGGCGAATGCAAAATATATTTCGTACCTGGGGCACCAGGTGCATTATCGAGATGAATAAGTGCTCCCGAACCGTGCAATGAATTGCCCCGGAAGAAAATAATGATTTTACTCGCAATGTGCATTTTGGGGCCGATTTTACGTACCACTCCTTAGGACATTCTGGAGGAACGTTTTCCTTGATTAAAAAACAATCCAACAAATTGCAGAGCATCTCTAGGTGGCAGATCTCCGGCAAGGGAGTTATCTTCTTGAATTTCGTTTTTGTTACTTCCAACAAGGGTGGAATGTACTTGTCGAAAAGTATTACCAGGTTTGCCTTTTCGGCGTTGTCTCGGGTGTCTATCCAACTTGCTACGAATCTGTTATTAAATGTACGAAAGTATAATCGAGTTTCTCTCGACAGGATGGTAAATTGTTAATTATTAGTGCATGTACTGACGGATTCCAGCCCAGATCCTGAGGGTTAATATATAATATTCCAGCCCGAGATACAGTGGCAGGTGTCGCAGTTCTGTAATTTGGCATAGATCAATTAATATTAATCTCTACTATTTCTCATCAAGATGTAACATAAACCATGTGAATATACTTCTAAGTACGCGGTACCTTAAATTTGAGATTTCGAAAAGAAGTCTCATGTGTTTGGTCAGTGCGATCCTCTCGTTACTAGCCAAAGTAAGAACTTTATTGTCATCCATTACAGTATTCAGGGATTCGATCCACATGGGATCTATATCACCATCGAAAACAATCCATTTGGGTCCATCTCCCGGCATGTTAGCTTGGTCCCTCATCAGCGTAGAAAATAATCTGCAAAAATGTATTCAGATTTTTACAACGTCAACTGGTTGTAAAGTAATTACTTTATTAGTTTAAATTACGATGATGATATAACGGATATGTTAAAAAATTATTTAAACCCGTCTTTCCATTCCCTCGTGGCCGGATTAATAACTCCGAACAATTCATCGTTAGTAACAGCTTTTGGGTCCAGGTCATTGTAATAAGGCTTGCGTTTTTGGTTAAAATATGTCCTGTTTAAGGTTTTCCATACTTGAGTCTTCCCCGTTCCTGCAAGACCAACGATGAACACCGAATGTCGCACGTTAAACAATTCCTCCAATTGAACCACCTAGCAACACATAATAATACGTATATAGTCAATATCAGCATGTGGTTTCCTGATATCGTGCTAAAACATACTTTCAAAATGAAACCGTCCTCTGGTTGCATTTTCAAATCTATAGCAGCTGTTCTAACCATCATCTCAAAATCCATGTCCCTCTTTCGAGGAACGTCCAGTGCTGGAAACAGATCCCCTGAAATCCATTATACATAAATTAGTTATACTACGTTAGCTTTGTTATGGTTTCTTATTATATTCTTACCGATTAGGCCCATAAATACGGGGACATCATCCGTTACTATTTTTGGAGTATTAAAGTCTCGCAGTGCTCTCATGAGCACTTGATCTTCGGGACGTAATCGATCTCCACGTTTCAATTTCCCAGCAACGACCAAGACGGATTTGATCGCCCTTAATCCCCAGTCGTAATGGTCTTGCTTCGACAATAATTCTCGACAGAGGGTGTACAGAGTGATGAATTTCCTGGCCAGCAATCGAGCTTCCTGGAAGCCTTCAGCAACCAGCATGATTTCGCAAATCAATTCAAAATCGGGGACCACCATCGCGCAGGGCCTATTTTGTTTTAATGCAATGTTAGGCTGACAGAGGTCTCTTAAATTAATCATTTTCAAAGATGACCCTATACCTGAATAAAGTCTTCAAATTTTCCGGGAGCTCCGTCCTGCCTGCATAACCAGGATTCATGGTAATAAACATCCCGACCGTGTCTATAATGTTTAACTCTTCTCCAAAGAAGAGGAATTTTTTCTTCCTATTTTTGATCCCATCGAGGACGGATTTCACTTGTACCGCGACCACGGAAAGGACTTCCACAGAAATTCTATTGAATTCATCAAAACATCCCCACGCACCGGTCTGCGCCAATCCCTTGTAAATATTTCCACAAGACTGTAAAATAATTCCGGTTAAAGTGATGGATAAAATATGATTGTCATTTGTAGATTTCTGGGTACAGTCCCCACTTTGTAGTCCATTTGCTCCGAGCAATTGAAGACATACACCATTTGACCTAGGGCTCGACCCAGATCCTTGGTGGTCTCAGTTTTCCCGGTACCAGCTGGGCCAGCTGGAGCTCCTCCCATAACCAAATGCAAAGACTGCGTCAGTGTGATGTAACACCTGTCTGTCAAAGGTGTTATAACGAGTCTCGGTACGTTGCCTAAATACTCGTAGCCGTAGGAGAAGCACGCGTCACAAATGTTAGCGAAGCAATCGCCCAGTTTGTCGTCCCATCTAATTTAAAATCAAGGTAAGTTGTTACAAATTAAAATAATGGAAAATCGTATTACTGCCGCTTTTCTTTGAACCTGTGTCGCAATTGAGACTGCCATTGGAAACTGGACGAACTCTCGGCCTTCATGGTGATCATTTTAGCGACAACGTCCCTCGCGTGCACATCGATCGTGCAAATCGTCATGATTTTTTGCCGATCGTTTTCGTTCAACTCCCCGCAAAGAATCGTGATTAAGACGTTCAGCTGCTGGATCTGCTTCTTTTGGTAGTCCTTCAGGGCGTTTTCGAAGCCCTCTTCAACCCGGGCGAAGGCCATGTTCACCTCTGTGGTCCACCAAATCTGAGTCCCACAGAGGGCTGGCTGGGCCTCGTAATCAAAAATCCATTGTTCTCGCGGTTTTTCGTCGTAAGAACCCACAGCTTGGCTAAAATGGAACCTGACAGATCTGCGCATCGCGTCCGTCACTCGGTTTAACCAGACCTCCACCTGACTCATCGATATCAGGAAAATAGGGAAATATTACCTGAACGCTTTTACGAATTTTCTGGCAAAACAGTAGATAGTGACGCTGACAAACAATGTATTTTTCGCACCTTACCACTGCAGTCGCAGGTTCCGTGCATTGTCATGACTTCTCCATCCTTGGCTATCAGGGCGTTCGCGATTTTTGAATTTTTTCCTCCCTCCTGCTTCCACTTTAATTGCGCTATCGAGTCGTACAATTTCGTCAAGTGGCGACACACCAACTCTGGATTATTTCCTGCGGATAAGTTTCAACATTGCGGATATTAATTTTTTAAATACAATAAATATGGATTAGTCCGCCTGACTTGCCATTGCTGAGGATGTCTAGAAGATCGGCGGGAGACACGAAGTAGAACCTCGGATATGCCAACCTTTTCGTCTCTAAATAATCGGCGAGCGCTTTTTCGCATAGGTTCAACTGCTTCTGCAATTCTTCGAGACGTTCCAGCAATTTTGGCTTGTTAGTGGCCTTCACTATGTTCAGAGTGGCTAGCATATCTCTCAATAATTCCTAGGAAATATTCGGGAAAGTTCGCTCGTTATCATCGGTCGATTAAAATTTCAGGAGAAATTAGTACTACCTTAAAGTCCCTGTCTATCTTTTCGAAGCGCTTAGAATCTTCGGGTAATTGACTGCGAATGTCTTCGGACCCGATAAAGATACTTTCCAGATGCATCCAGGCTCGCTGCACTTCGAACCAAACGTTTATAACAGCGTCGGCATTACTTAATTTAGTCTGCCAGTCAGTCACTTCGTCAAGGAAGTACCCTACGTATTTCGAGCCCAACATGTTTTGCAATTGCACCTAAATTAATTAAAAAAATAAAAGTTCACGTTTAATCGATATTCAGACTTTGTAGAAGTGGCACCGCAAGGATGACCGAATTCTTCGGCTCACTTGATTTTCTTCCAACGTTTCTATCGTTTCTTCGCTAATTTTCAGTACGAATAACTTCGTACGGTCATGAAGCTCTTTATCGAATTCTAAATTAGCCCAAGTATTGTTCAGTTCCTTCAAGGTTTTCTCCATGGCCATTTCCTTTACGGCCTTGTCTACCGTATTCTTTACTTCCTCCTCGAACTTGTGAAGTTTCAACTTCAAGAGGTCCTCTAGGGTCGTCTTATCATCCATTGTGAATCTCACCTAGGACGTGATAATAAAAGAGGAATAAAATTATATCAAGAGTTATCAGAAATGGCACAAAATTGTCCACGTTTAATTATGTAATTAATACTTGGGTCTCTGCCATAAGTTGCTGCCAATGTCTATCTCTGATCGCCGGATTTTGAAGTTCCGACACAGCTCTCAGTGACGACATCATGTTCTTGACTTCTCCTTCGATAAACTGATATAGCTCCCAAACTTTTGCTTCCTTATCCAGCACTGGTGGCGGAAAATTATTTTCTTCATTCATTCTGTTAATTGTATTTAAGTAGAAATTATAATTCGTATCTGCACGTACGCCTCAATTCTTTGGTGAGCTTTTTGCACTCTTGGTCCATTCCCTCCACGTCGATTTTCTTCCAGACAGTTATCTTCCACTCGTCCAAGCTGGTCTGAATAATGTTCACGTAGTCCCACAAGCATTTCAGTACCTTCAGTTCCCTTCGAACCTGTTTTACGTGCTTGTACTCCGGAAGTTGTTGCTCGAATATATTTGCTGTTTCAGCGACCGTTTCCAATTCCTTCTCGAAAGCTTCGGTCTTCGCGTTCAGTTGGTCCAGTTTTTCATACACATTTTCACATCCGAATCTGAAATTCATCGAAAAGAGAAATAAGAAGAGTTTCATTTCGTTTCTATTTTTACTTTACCTGAATACCGGGCTGGCATGGAAGTCTGCCAGGAACTTTTGTTGCCGGAAATCGAAGAAGTTCAATCGTTTCTTCAGAAGGTCTATCTGATGAGCCAGAAGGGGCTGAACGACTTGCTTCACCTGAGCCGCTAATTTCTTTACAATGGCCCAAATCTCTGGCAACTTCACCAAAGAATTAAACGTTTCTTCCGGGAACTCGACATCGTATTCTTTCAGTAGCTCTATAGTCTCCTGAGAGAATGAAAAATCAATCGATTTTTATTCCAAATTACAAAATGAAGAATCATTTATTAATTAATATCTGGACGCACCTTCAAGGGCTCAAACATGTCATCAATCTCGAATTGTCTGTCCCTGACTTCCTTCAGATAATAAATCGTTTGCAGCAACCCGTCGTAGTCATCCTCTTGTACAGGTTTCATAAACCTATCCTTGGCTTCATCTAAAAATGCCGAAAGACCTTCCAGGCTGTAAAAAAATGCATTAACTTAAGAAATAATTTCCAGGATTATTTGAAACAGGATTTAAAAAAATATTTCGATTACCTACCTTGAATTGACCCGGTCTATCAGATGCGTTTTCAACAAATTAGCCCATTTGCAAATCGTATTGAGAAGAGCTTGCTTAAATGGCTTGACGTTTACTCGGAACCAACGGCAAAAGATTTTCTCAGACTCTATGCCATTGCACTTCTTGTACAAGTCCACGAAGTAATCGATTTCTCTCTTGAAATCCGACAATTCTGGCTTTTTCTCCTTGAGAAACTGGGCTACACTTTCGGGCGATTGAACTGCCATTTCTTTCTCTTCCTCGGTTAACATTCTTGCAAAACGCAGAAATAAATCCAAGTACTGCTGCCGGTTGTCCAGCCATAACCAGGAATACGGCTCATAAATCTGCATTACATGCAATGACAATTACAGTACGACGCACCTTACGAAAGTACAGTATTTGAAATGTTTCTTTCGATGTCTTTATAGAGTATCTCACCAGCGCATATTCTTGGGCCTGAACAAGCACGTGCTTAACGCGATTGCACGTCTCCTCTAACATGAATATGATTCCTTCATCTTCTGCCAGATCCACCTGGAAATATCATAAAACCTCGGGTTCTTTTCAACGTGATTATTCAAATTTTCTTTCTACCATGAAAATGATTTTTATTACCCCGTAATGGTCCTCCGAGATTTCGGTGTTTACTCGTGGCACCAGAGCGCCCATTTTCATGATGTTAAACATTAACTCTTCGTAAAATGCATAAAATCCACTCGGATCATCTATATAAACCGATGGACGATAAATGACGTCTGGAACATCTAGACGAAGATCCACCTCAAAGAGAGGATGCATTTTTCCCTCGGGATCCGTTTCGTCAAGAATGTAACAGAGACTGGCAAAATGTAGGAGGATAAATAATTCAATAATTCCCGGTTTTTTCTCAGGAATAATGTTAATAGATGAAACTGAAAAATATATTCATACCTAGTAGACACAGCTTGTATTAATCCCTTCGATATGAGTTCGTCAATATACGCTAAATACGGTTTCCATTTAAGCTGTCTCTCAGCTTCAAGTTCGGCTTCGAGTTTCGCTTCCTCTTCTCGCCGTAAAATTTCAGAAGGAGACAATTGTACTTCCGGTACTTTTTCTCCGACCTCTGCCTCCTCTTCTGCGGCCTCTTCTCTAAAGCAATAATTAGACATCAGTTAGTTAAAAAATTATTAGAAAAATTATTCTACGTCATGGAAATATTGGAAATATATTTACTTTGCTTCTTTCTCCTCTTTGTCTTCGTCCTCAGCATCGTCTTCATTGATAATCTGCGCAGGTTCTTCTACTTCATTCACTGAATAATTTGCGCATATTGATTATTTTTTTTAAAATAGTGTTCCATATCGAATTTTCAAGAGAGAAATTTTGGTGATTCGTGATAATAGGACGAACCTTCCTCCTCGGACACGTCGATGTACTCGGATTCGGGAATGAGACCAAAGAATAATTTGTAATTTTCATCTAGTACTCGTTCGATCTCATTAACGGCGATTTCGATTTCGCCGTATCTTTTTGCAAATCGCTCGTCGCGCTCGTTGATCGCTAGAAGATTTTCATCCTTTAGATCTTTGCGATCTAAAACGGGCAACATTGCCCAGGAATAGATCATCTTGAGAAGATTTTCAACGTTTTCTTGAGCCTTGAATATGCGAGAATGCAATTTCTTGACCAAGTTCAATAAACTTTCAACGTACTCAGGAACCTCTACAATTTATGACCATAAGACAATTATTCCGTTTTAACAGAGAATTAAAGTTAACCATTTCATAGTTAAAATAATGCATCAATAGTACCCGAAGAGTTCCAGTCATAGTTTTCTTGACCTTGTGCAATTAGTTGATCGATGCTGTTGATTTCGTCGCGAATTAAATCGAACTCCACGGGTGAACTGTGCGACCTTATTCTGTTGTACCTGGATTCATATTAATTCGCGTGAAAATGATCTCAATTAATTTAATTTCTGAGGGAATTATGAGTCTGGAAAATTCCTGGAACGTTAAGAAACGAACCAGTTAACGATAAGAGTGAGATTGTAATTGCAGTCGAAGAAAAACTGAGTTCTGTTGTAGAGATCCACGGCTTCCTGTGGCAGATTCTCTTTTTGCATAATGATCATGTATCGAGTTTCTCTCAGTACTGCAGTCAATTCCACGTCGAAATTGACTTGGAGCGAATTGTCGTCGAGGACGGAGAGAAGGGTTTTGGCCAAATTTGTCGAGCAAATCTCCGGCACCGTTTCCACCCACGTTTCGAATATCTCTTCCTCGGAGGTCTGCAATATATCCTTTGCGCAAGGAATAATACTGTTATTTCACTATTTCACAATCATGTATGCAAAACTGCAGCACTGCATACTGGGAAATTTAATTACATGCAGTTCATCGAATTTGTCGTGTAGGTCTTGCCCCGTTTGGGTAAGCAATAAAGGATGATCCACGAATTTCATGCATTCCATGGGATATTCAATGCGGTGTTTCATTTTCATTAAACACCACAGTGCACCTGCCACGGGTGGAAAGAATTGGTCCACGATCATCTCGCCTTTTCGTTTGCTCCCGAAATTTTCGTCATATAAACCCTGAAAAAAAAGCAGATTAAAGTATAATTTTTGTTTAATTTTTATCCAGACTAAGGATAGAGTTTTAAAATTAAACGCTTGTCTACTTTGACAGTGTCCAACTGCTCGTTCAACATTGTTAACAGACGTTCATAATGGTGCCATAGTTGCTGCATAATAATCGGTCTAAGTGCGATCGCTCCCATTATCCAAATTAACTTGAACATACTTTCGATGTTGTGGCACTCAGCAAATGCCTTTTCAAAAATTGAGCCCAATCTTCTGTCGAATTCTTCTACCTAAAATCCAACCTCCATTATTCGAGAGTTTATATTTCTTTGTTTAGCAACACTTGAGCTTTCAACCTTTTTCAGGAACTTGGACAAGTCATTCGAGAATTCGACGTTCTCCGGCATCAGGATGTCATATTGTACCGAAGAGAATTCATTGTAAAGTTTCGTGAACTCTTCATAAATATCGAAAGTCATCGAGCATAGTACTTTCCCTTTCAATCCAGCCAGTTCTGTTTTCTCTAACTTCAAGTACTCTTGAGCGATCTCGAACAAGGACTAAAATTGTTCAACAGAAAAGGTCGATATTATTAAACGGGGTAATATAAATTCTGTATTAATGTTTTCTGAGTAAAGGACGTAGTATTGAACCTGGATCTCTTCGAGTCGTTTTTTGAATTTAATCAACCTTCCAAATATTAATTTTTGATGAAAGGTCCACAATAGTGGCTCCGCTGGAGGCTTGAAGTATGTGTCAACCTTTTCCCGAAAGGTTTCAAATAATTCTTCAAAATATTCCACAGTTTCTCCCGTTTTAATCAGGCGCTTCAGGTTGTCTTCAATATCCCCTTGAAACAAGGATCCTGGATCTAGGGATTTACTGGCCTGGAAGAATGCTGCAATTTATGCAAATGGATCAAGAGAATTCACTCGGGTTGATTTTGTACCTCTGAGATGAGGAGGTTCGCAACTTCAGAAAGTAATGTTATAATGCGAGAAGTAGTGCAGTAGTATTTGGAATTAGCCCAGGTTAAGCAAATACAGTGCAACATTGGTTTCAGCTTTGGTTGAATGTCATTGAAGTCCGAACTTTCAATCTCCTCAAAATAAGGTTTCAAAGGTTTCAAGTATAGACATATGTCACGAGCCTCTATAACAGCTGTAAGCAAAAGACATGTAAATGTCACAACATATTTTCAATTACACAAGCTTTAAAAATGAGCTAACCAGCGACGACATTTTTAAAGATTTCCTGCAAGCACGGGAAATGAGGGCTTCCTGTAAGCTCCAAAATAGTAGCCATCTTCTTCACTCGAGGATCTCTCATTTGCTCATAAATTGATTCAATATTTTTTAATCTATCTTGCCAGAACAATATCTCGACACTGGGCACAGGATGATTGCCTTCGTTGAAAGTACTGGTGCTCTCTTCATTAAGGATGTCATTAATTTGACTCGACCATTTAATGATAATGCCTTCGATGTTGCTTTTTAGTTGAATATCAACCTGGTCACCGGAAGTCTGTTTAATCAATGTTTCAGCATCGAAAATCCTTTCGATCCCCATTGGCATTGGCAGTAACATTTGACCTGTCATTTTTCCTCGTACCTATGTGATTAAAGAAATGTTCTCTAAATATTATTCGCATCAAATTTTTATCACAAAGAAAATTCATACCTGGCATAGTAGACTCCGAAAGTCATACACGTGTTTTTTTACATCCTCCACTACTACAGCTGGCCATCCCGTATGATTTTTTGGATTCGAGAGAATCGGGACGAAGACCTATTATTACATTTCCTTTTAATTATTATGTGAAAGAAATTTTTATTTCAGGGAGGAAGAATTTCTCTTGATGAAATTAATTATAGAATAAAATGCATACCTCTTCAACGAGGACAGCAAGCTCATCGACCGGTCTAGGAGCCATATCACCCATTATTAAAACATCTCGATAATTGTCTTCGGTGACCATAACTTTGCTTCGTTTAATAAAATAAGACGATTTTACTTTACTTCCTGGTTGAATGCTTAAAAATGGGGTCAACGCACCGGTTGTACTGACTTGCATGATTAAAATTTTATTAGCCGGTACGTTGAAGAACTTCATTAGTATATCCTGAAAGGGGGGAATTTGGAATGAAATTCAAAGTAAATAGGAAAGAGGAAAAGAGGAGGTTATTAAAATTATTTCTACCTTTGATTCATCGTGTCCTAACATTTTTGCCCACTTATCTGCTTTTAACTTACTCGAACGAACTAAATACTGGTAAATGAACTCAAGACGCTTGTCTTCGTCCTTTTTTTCTTCTTTTTTATCTCCCATTTTTGTCGAGTTTTAGATACTCTTCGTTCGGGGAATTATAAAAATTGGTTAAACTAAAAATGAAGAGTATGACTTATGTCAAGGAATAAGTTTTTCGTAAAACAGAAAACAAGCGAGTCCCGAATCGAAGGTGATCAAGGCTATCACATTTGCTACCAGCGCCACATGTGTGTGATACCGCGATTCTCTATGGAGATTGGCGTTACATTTTTGTGACCGTTTTGACTGCTTTTTAACAATTTCTACTGTGGTGATTTCCTAATGAGATCGAGCTATAGAACATGCTACATTTAATTTCATGAGGGGTACCCAGTTTATTTTTATTGTAAATTTTATTACAAACGCACAAGCATATTAACTAGATATTTTTATTTTGAATTCAAATGAAATTAGAACACGAATATTCTTCCGGTAAGTGCTGTTACCTTTTCTTCTTCCCCTAGAAATGATGCAGAGTAATGTATACAGAAATAGTGAACTGGATATGTGAAAAATTTAAGACGTAAAATAAAATCTGCAGAAACCTTCTGTTTCTTTTTCTTCTTTTTAGAAGCTTTTAGACGTGCATAAATCTCACGCCACCAACGTTGGATAATCTTCGCAGCTCGGAGTCTCATGAACTTCTCCAGCTTTTCCGTAAAAATTTGAAGAATTGCCTCTTCTCGCTCCTTGACGAACGAGTTGTATATTTTTAGCTGTTTGTCCATCTCTATCTGCATCAAGATTGGTTTAAAATTACCTAAAATTATTCGACATGAGATTACGATGCATCTTGGTGAACGCACTTCCAGTTCCATTTTTTCTTGTCTATCCTTTTCATATTCCTCATTCAGCTCCTCTAGAATATTTTGCCTCTCCTTAATTTCAACGTCAAATTTGTTGATTAAGGCCAGAAGTTGAGATTCAGTCTTAAATCTGGACACATAATTTTCTCAAATAACATTATTCAAGTACAAGTAAAGCATTCGGCTAGTCGATATTTTCACTCACCTTTTAGCACGTATCTCTTTTTCTATTTGTAAATTTGTCAATCGAAGCAACTGAAGATTATTTTTGGCATTTTCCACAGATTGTTGTAACTCGGTTTGCTTCATTGCCGAGGCATTGAGTGCCCAAATTTGCCTCCTTTCAGATCGAATTCTATTTAGGAAAAAATTCGTTTGTGCTGGTGTAATATCGTAATTTTGTCCATTTAAGGATAGAAAATCTTAAGGGAGAATTACATGCCGGATTTGATGCCTTCTTCGCATTGTTTATTAACTCGATCTACTAACATTGCGTCCTTTTTGTATTGAGAAACTACAGACTTTGTGTTGGCATAATGAAGAGATCTCTGCAGCTCCAATAATCCGGCAAGCTCTTAATTAATTAATCGTTATAATCAGGATTCACGGACCTTGAGAGATTACAGGATTTTAATTGAATTCGTACCAGACAAGTCTCGCTGAGCATTCTTATTTTCTCTCCAAAGCTTTCTGAAATATAATTCCTTGGTTCTTTCTTCTTCGGGAGAGAGACGTAATTTCGAGATCACATGCTCTACAAAGAACTTCATATACCGAAGAAATAATGACGATTGCAAGGAATTGTCTTTTTGTAAAGACTGGACCATTTTCCGGATTTCGGGATAACTGTTCAAGATCTAAAATAAATTCAGAATACCTTAATTACTTAAATTAAAATGATGATAAGTTTAAACAAAGAAGGCAATTCAAATAGTAAGACGTCAGGAATTATTTATGACATTTTGTATGATGAAAGATAACTAAGTTTAATAATAATTAAGTAAAAGTGGGTATACCGTAATAGCTTCATAAATATCTGCACGATGGTCTAGTAAGGTACACCATGACGAGGACTGACTCTCTCGTTTATTTATTTTATTGTCAAAATGGGTTTCACCTTCATTCTTAACTGAAACGTAACGTTAATAGTAAACCATTTAAATTCCAATTGTAGAAACATTATAGTTATTGCAAAATTGATTGAACTAATCGCAATAGCAATGTACCAATCTCGCCCCTTCGAATTTCAGTCATTAATAAAAAAGTGGCTTTTATTTTATTTGCTTCTTTTTTCGTCAGAATTTCAGGTAATTTCAGATGCTCAATTAATGACGGCAAACAGGCCTGTAATTATACATTAAATGTACTTTCTTTCACTGTAGATTCGCGAGAGGTGTATATGGATCATTCTTTAATTAAAATTGCAATTATCGTCACTTACGACGAGTTCTAATTTCTGAATAAGTTGATTAAATAGACGCTGTATACGCTCCAAAAAAATAGAAGTTTCAATTTCAGCTACTTCTGGCTTGTCAGATATTTTCATCGAATCACTGTCGATTAAATTTCTGGATCTGTCATCTTCGCTTTCTTCGTCAAGAGAACGAGATCCTTCTTTGGGTGGGCATCTATTTCATTAAATTTTTTAAATAACGTATGTAATGTACTCAAGCGCATCATGAAACACAATTAATGATTGAGGTTATTTTTACTTGATATTAAGAATACTTACAAACATACATTTTTTGGCTTAATAAAAATCCCGCATGGTAATAATTCTGAGGAAATTATATCTGAAAGTGAGTGATTTTCTGCCATTTTATACTAATAAAGTTTATGCCATCTATATTTTGAATCTGTAAGGTGTTAGTGGTAATATCCATTGGTTTTCACTGTTGCTTTTATTTTGTTTCGTCACAGTACACGAGTGAAATTATAATTCACATATTTCAATTTTCATTAATTATATTTAATAAATCATTTGGTTATTTTCGTCGTAACGTAATTGAATCTTTTCTTAAAGATTGCCTAATTAATTACAAAGTTGCATCGAGTGCTATTAACAGTCTCTATTTTTCTTCAATATCAATTACGATATCGTATACATATATACAACTGTCTAACGATCACAATTTTCAAGGGCAATTTAATATCTAATAAAGAGATATAGCTTAAATACTAACAATGTTAATGTAATCATTTCTTAAATATGTCGTTTTGTAAATCATTCAATTGCATACAAAAAAAGAGATACTGCCAAAGCATTAAGAATGTATTAAGGTGATATACACGAAATTATCAACAAATACTGATTTTCTAATTGCTCAAATTTCAATTCAATAGAGATCCAATATGGAATGTACAGAGATATTTAAATAAAAGTGAATGAGTCGCAATTGTCAAGTATAACGGATTATATACTAAAACTAATCGTTTCCATTTTGTATGAAATTGAGACAATCTTTTATGTTGAGTCCACAATATGATTACAAGTGTACGGGTACAATAAATTAAAAAAATAATAGAAACTTTTTTAATATTAAACAGTTCAAAAAGCAAAGAGTATTCGTTATGTATGAACATATAATTATAAATGCCGATGTACAATTAAGCCATGTTCAGTCACATCTACACAGAATGAAGAGGCGAATTTTTTCGAAGAATAGTTTTCAAACGTCTTACAAATATTACTTATAATTGTTCATCGGAGCGAAACTGCATCGCTATTGAACCAACGCTCCGTGCAATGCGTTATGAATATTCAAACTAACGTGGTTATGCGTATTTCTAAATTATATACTTCTCCCGTGAATTAATAAAGATCTGCAACAAGTGAAGTCGTATATATTTAATAGTAAATATATAATTCTCATTATATCTTAATTTAGAATGCATTTATTCTTAATATGTGAAAGTCTTCTTTCCCTAGAGTAAAATAAAATTTGGTATGTTTCTTGTCATGTGATTATTTAACATTTTACAAAGAACGAAGATTTCAATGTGAATTTTTCATCGCCGTCTTGAATGCAAAGCGTATTTTTTGGAGGAAATTCTATTCATTTTTTTAATTTTAAATGCAAAACGATTCGCGGAATGTTTCTGGAGATTCGGGTCTTTTCTGTCCAGCCAATAATCCGAAAATTCTCTGCTATCTGTGTCTTCATCAAGCGAGGGGTCACATATTTTCGAATTGCAAACTGGCTCCGTATTTTCGTCGTGTTTAATATTTTCTCGAATATTTTGCCTAGCATTGGCACGATTGAAATACCATTCCGAAGCACGATCACGTTCACGGAACTTTTCTCGAGAACGAGACCTAAAGGATTAAATATAAATTAGTCGTGAAATAAATGGAATAGATTATGGTTAATTTGCGTTATATGCTGTATATTCTGTGTGTACATACCTCTGGATTTGCCAGTTATAGTTGAGTAAGTTTTCCAAATTATTCTGACTTTTTTCTCTTTTATATTTAATTTCATTCTTCTGTTCAGGATATTTTTTACTCTTTTCATGATTTTTCCTTTTCAAAGAATTCTTATTCAAGTCCTTAGAATTATTGGCTGCGTCTTTCACCGAATCAAAGAATTCAGATTTTTCATATTCTTGTTTTTTTGTAGACATTTTTGAATTATTGCCAAGTACCATTGGACATTCTTTCTCGTGTTCTTTCTCATGTTCCGGTAATGCATTTCTCGTTTGTGTATCTTTTTTATGTTGAGTGTTATCATTTTTGAGTGTAATTTCTGAATGTTCATTACTGCCGGTAATTACGGATTTTACATTGTTTATGGCATGAACATTCACATCACTGTCAGATGGAGAAACGTTATGCTTCGTTTCAACTAAAATATTGTGAACATGTTCCTGCGAATGAAACATAAAGCATATTAAAAAGTAAAAGAAAAAGACATCGAAACAAAAATTATGATTACAATTAGTAAACAATATTAGTAATTCTTAAATAAATTGAGAATTACCTCCTTTCCTGTTTTTACTTTTCCACTACATAGTTTATCCTCTTTACTGCAAATGTCTTTTTCTGCATTCTCCTTTGCAGTATATTTTTTTGTCTGTATTTCTGTATCGCAAGTTTCTTCTTTTATCCCATCTAATTTCTTTGGATATGATGTTTTAGATTTTGTATACAAATCCACTTTATTTGACAATAAATTTTGATCAAATGGCAACACATTAACTGCTCCGGTTTTTACATCGTCTTTACCATTTATATTGTAACGAAATTTATTGGACGGTATGTCATCATTAGACTTTTCATTTCTATTTTTTTTAGTTCGGTACTTCTTTTTAGAAATATTCTCATTTGAGGGATATGTTATATCTGGGATAGAATTATCACTTATAGAATGTGCATTTCCACTTGGAGTTAATACTGCACATGAATGTTTCATACTTTTATCTTTGGGTGTCCTCTTTGTTTTCTGATTCTGTTGTTTCTCTAAATCTTTAACACTTTTTAAGTGGTCAATGTTTGTATAAGTTTTTTTAAGAATTAAATCGCAACTCATCAGAAAGGAGTTATTTCCCGATAATGACACGAGTAAGTTATTATTTGACATTGTATCTCTTAGAAGGCACAATCTTTTATTTAATTTACGCCTGACATTATTTAGTTTTTGTTGGACTCTCATTGTTAATTTGTTGAATGTCTCTGACAAATCTGCTAGAAGCAGACGGCATATATTCCTGACTTTATCTTCAGCATCTCGTAAAAACCTGAAATTAAATATTTTATGTGTCAATTCTAATAAAATTATTGTATTTTCATTGTGAATGGCTACTTGTTAGTCCCACACGAACCTGAGTTCTGCAGGATTTTCATTATCACTAAATTTTGCAGTCACTTCATTTAAGGTCCTTTTGAATGCCATCAAGTCTAGAAGTACGCTAGGAGGTTTGCAATTTACAGCCTCAGAATTGGAACTACCTTCGATCCCTTTAATAACCGAGCACACTGTGTCCAAACATATCTGAAGCTGTTCTAAAATTATAATATCTGGATCGATAGTTAAGTCACTTGACCTTTTTTGGTGTTTCTCAGCATTTTTAAATATCTTTATTATATCTTCAATTTTTTCTTCATGCAAATGCTTTTCAGAGAGCGAGGTAACTTGAAGAATACTTTCTTTAATTTCATTCAGTACACCTTTCACTGTTTGAAAAATAAAGTATATTCTTTAAAAAATAAATGAAATTTGTTCACACTCAAGATCTTTCATACAATGGAATTTTCCTAATTCACAATATTATCAGTTTATGAAATTATAAGATAAATTGACGTCTACCTTCACTCAATTCTTTCACTTGATCAATAAGGGCATTACTTTCAACTTTAAGGCTTTCAAGATCAACTGCACTTGAAACAGTACATTTACTATCCATATTTAAGATATGCCCAGCACCTAGACCTACAATGGCAGCCAGAGAACATGCAGCTAGAAAACTTATAACTGCTCTGACCTGGATAAAGCAAACAATACAAGTTATACATTTATACTAAAACAAAGAGAAACAATTACAAAATTCATCTGATCAAAATGTACAGCACCACGCAGTTTTAAAAATATTTTCATTTTCATCATACCTGCAGAGGAGTTTTTTCATACGTGTTTATTAATTTCCTTAATGCGTTACATGGTTTACTTTTGCGATCAGTTTTATCCTTAACTCTTTTAGTCACAATGACATTTTCTGTATCACTTTCTGTAATAACGGATACACCATCAGAATCTTCAGCATGCGCCTCACTTAATGCTCCGTTTTCTTTATCACATGGAGTTTCTATGTCACTTCCAAGAATTTCAATTCCCTAGAATATACAGGTCAATTAATCACTGTATTCATATTACCGTGTTAATGTGAACGAGTTATTAACTTAATCATATCATAGTTTTCAAAACGTGTTATTACTTCCAGAGCTTCTACAGCTTCACTACTAAGATCTGTGTTATCACTCTTATCGCCACCGATGGTCTCCAGACAATGTTTATCATTTTCTTCTGATATATTACCATCGGGTATAGAATTTCCATTTTCTCCAATTAGCGTCCACTCAGTGTAAGACACGCTGTCCTCGTTTTTATCAAATTTTATATCAGTGTTATTAAATACTGGTTGGGCCATTATTTGCTTTGGTTTGTTTTCAAATAGTGCAAGTCATAACATCTACGATAATAAAAAGATAATTAACCATATGGGAGATTTTTTAATCAATGTAACAAATTACTGTAAATACAAACTAAAAAGGCAAGTCATTCTTATATTCATGGTTTACAGAGGAATTCTCCCGATAAAGAATATAATACAAGACGTTAAATACAGTTTATGTATGTAAATAAGAAAATATTGTCTAACATAAATGTGCTTACTTGCCTTTTTCTGCTATAATATACAATGAAAATACTGTTTTACATAAATTCTCGTCTAATTTGGTTATTCAAATAAACCCTTCAAGCCTGTAGTAAATTAACTCGTGTTAAAACATTAATTAAGGCACGCGCGCATTAGAGGTAATTAAATATTTAGCACAAGGTAAACAAATCCACTCACAATCTTGCATCGACATTTGTGTTGATTTAGACTTGAAAGTTGTCCTTAAAGTTACAAATACTCTTTAATTTCGTCGAGTCTTTTGAAGTGATAGCATCTTCGACGTTGATTTCTAGTTGCTAAATTTTTTCGTCGTTCTTTGTTAGCTTTCACTTTTCTTGGTGACGTATTTGCTCCACTATATTTGCTCTCTACAAATGCGATAAAAACAGTGACAAAAAGATGATCACTGGAAGTGTTCTTTAATATTTACAGTCGGTAATATAGGAAGTGAATTTCACTTTGAGAAATCCCTCATATACAGAGTCGCTTTTATATCGTTCCCATTACCGACCATGACTGTGCTGCCCCCGGTGAAGAATGTGCACGACTACGCACTTGGCATCTGTTACCTTAGACCATATATATCTAGACCTTGCATTGGACCTCCCACTTCAAGATTTTCAGTAAGCAGAATGGCTTTAAATGTGTAAGTGAGTTGTCAGGACACGTATTTGCATACGTCGTTACCCCTTCTATTGTAAGACGGCTACATAAATAAGAGATGAGCAGAGATGAGTTGGGAAATTGCTCACGGGCAGGATCGTACGATCACATCCTGTGCTGCCCTCTGGTTTCGTATGTTAGCTTACGGGCACACTACGGGACTATACAGGACTATACGGTACTATACGGGACTATACGGGGCTATGCGGGACTATACGGGACTATACGGGACTATACGGGACTATACGGGACTATACGGGCACACTACGGGACTATACGGGACTATACGGGACTCGATAACGCTCAAAAACACTCGAAAAATGGTCGATAACGGTCGAAAACGCTCGATAACGCTAGTAGATAAATGTTAAAATCATACGCGAAGTCACTCGGCTCATATCCGCTGCTAGGGAGGATTTTTCGCTGCATTCGCGATCCCCTACCAGAAATTCGTTGCGCCGCCCTTGGGGGCAAAAAACAGTGAAAGCTGGCGTACGAAACCAGAGGGCAGCACAGGATGCGATCGCACGATCCTGCCCGTGAGCAATCTCCCAACTCATCTCTGATTTATGGTCTAAGCCCATACTGTTTTTCAGCAGGTGTATGTGCAATGAAGGGACAGATTTGTTTATAAATGTATTTACATTGATTACATTTGTGGTTTCATTGGACTCATTGTTAAGTCAGCACTGGCCAAAGATATAATTTTTCTGGAAATTCTATTGAAAAACCTAACTTTGGCGCTGAATTGCCAAATAAATATATAATTTAGCAGATACAAGGACTCTTTTTTTACAAAATCCATGAAGGTACCACCAGAAATATTAGCAAAATGGAACATGTCATTTCGCAACTTGAACGGGGAACTGTGGTTATTAAATTCTTCGCAAGGAAACGACCGGAGCGGAAAACCTTGATCGTGAAAAGGAGTACTCGGCAAATTATCTGGTCTAAAAGTGCTACAAGTCCTGTTGATGGGTTAAGTAAGTGTATTTATTATCCAAATTAATTTCCATGCTTCATAATACATTTGTTAATGTTATCGTTTACTAACATATTTCAGTTGAAATATCGGAGATCCGAGAGATAAGAATTGGAAAAGCCTCAAAAAATTTTGAGAAATGGTCAGCAGATGCAAACAAATTAGACGACTTAAGATGCTTTGTCATATATTATGGTTCTGAATTCCGTTTAAATTCTATTTCAGTATGTGGTAAGATTTCCTGTACATTTCTGAAGTACTTTTAAATGAATTTGGATCATTAATTTATTTGGATTTTTGTACAATAATTCTCTTTTCTAGCTTTTAGTGAAAGAGAATGCGACATGTGGGTGAATGGGTTACGATATTTGATTCGTGATACAATTGAGGCTCCTTATCATGTTCATGTCCAATGGTGGCTCAGAAAGGAATTTGACAATATGAAAAATGACGATGGGATGTGAGTGTTTATTGAATTCATAATTAATTTTTGTTTTCAAACAATCATTTTTAGGGTGTCATTGAAAGATATCAAGGCATTCTTGTCAAGGGTCAATTGTAAAATCTCTACCAATAAACTAAGACATATCTTTGAAGATGTAGATGTGAATGGTAAAAATGAATTGGAATTCAGTGACTTCATCATTCTCCACCGGGAGTTAATGTTGCAAAAAGATGTACGTTTTTGTTATCAGCATTTGCTACGTGTTGTGATTCAAATTAGAAATAATTTATTATTTCTTTTTAATCTAATTCGTATTTTCTAGATTGGTGTCGACTGGAGTGAATTCACTGAATATTTTGATTCACATAATACAATTACTCTTCAGAAATTTCAAAAATTTTTAGTAAATGAACAGGGAGACTCCTTAGCAAGTAACGAATTACATGTATTTCGTTATATTGGAGAATGTTTGTATGATTATCAAAAGGATACTCAGTATTATAACTTAACTTTATCCGAGTTTATCGATTTTTTATTTTCTAAGCAAAACGATATATGGGATAGTAAACACGATCAGGTGATTCAGGATATGACCAGGCCATTGTCACATTACTGGATTGCTTCATCACATAATACGTGAGTATTGTAGTTCATACAATACTTACAATTACAAATTGTTATTAATGAAAGATTTTACTTTTTAGATACTTGATGGGCGATCAAATTAGCAGTGAAAGTAATTGTCAAGCTTATGTTAGAGCATTACGATCTGGTTGCAGATGTATAGAACTTGATTGTTGGGATGGTCCTGATGGAACACCATTAATTTTTCATGGCCATACGTTGACAACTAAAATAAGATTTCTTGATGTAATCAAGACTATTAAAGAACACGCTTTTGCAACTTCTGAGTAAGTATGTTTAACATTGATCAGTTTTATTATTTTTATTTCCATCATCGGTTATTATACAGTTATTATAATGTTTAGCTATCCCGTGATACTGTCAATAGAAGATAATTGTACAGTATCTCAACAACGTAAGATGGCTGAAATGATGTTGGAAGTATTTGGTGAAATGTTATTAATTCAACCCATTGACAAACACGAGACCTGTTTACCCTCTCCATATGCATTGCGTAAGAGAATTATTTTAAAGCATAAAAAGTTACCGGAAGGCCTGGATGAGACATCCTTAATCGCACTACAAACTGATGATAGTAACTCGGTAAAGAATTCGAAACATACTATTAAAAATGGTACACTGTATCTAAAAGACCCTATTGAAGATGACTGGATTCCACATTTCTTTATATTAACTGAGGAAAATTTGTTGTATTCGGACACATTCGCAAGATTACGTGGAACGGATTCAGAGGATGACGATGAAGAAGTCAATCAAAAAATTTTTGATGTATGTATTTTTTTACCCTTCGCAATAATACAGGTGCTGGAATTTTATTAACTACTTCAAATTTGAATTCTAAGACCACACTCATGTCAGTATCTAGGATATTATGCCAATTTGGAATAAATAACAATGCTGAAAACTCTGAGAAAATTCAATTGAATCACATCACTGCAATTACTGATGGATAAGAAGTAATTCAAACGTGTACATGATTGTAAGAATTGTTCACTTTCCTTTATGTGCCTGTGCTTGCTGCAGCTACAAAACCACAAATGCATTTTACAGTTGTGTTAATTTTGCATCATTCTATATGAATGTCTTTTTGATCATGCATCTTTTTGAATGCAGTTTTCTGATTGGTAATTCTTGCTTATTATAGTGTATGCCTGTAACTAGAACATAATATCTGAAACTGTGATTTGTATAATTTCATACGAATTTTGGAATTGTCGTTTCTGTGTGTTTTTAAACACAATTGTTTTTTAATTATTTTGATTCTATTGTAATGAATATAATGAATATCATAGGATACTTCACTCAGTGATCTACATGTTGGGGAAAGTTGGTTCCATGGAAAACTCAAGGGCGGAAGAGAAGAAGCTGAGGAATTATTACAGAGATATTCGTACCTCGGTGATGGAATCTTTTTAGTACGAGAAAGTTGTACCTTCGTTGGAGATTATTGTCTTTCTTTCTTATGCAAAGGCAAAATAAATCATTGTCGTATTAAATTGAAACAGCAAATGGGAACTTTTAAATATCATATTATCGATAAAGTTCACTTCGACAGTTTGTATAGCCTTATATCCCATTATCGATGTCATCCGATTAGAACTCAGGTGTGTTCTCTTAATTGATTTCATATTTTCTTAATCTTTATAATATAACGATATGTAAATGAACGAATGTCTATCAATTAGGGGTTTTTAATTACATTACAAGCTCCTGTACCGCAACCACATGAACATGAGAAAAAGGAATGGTGGCACCCTGAGTGTAATCGATTATGTGCCGAAAATATGTTGAGAAATATTTCATCAGATGGAGCATTTTTAGTGAGACCCAGCGAAAAAAACGTTAATTCGTATGTCATCTCATTTAGGTAAGTCGTGAGAATATTTATTTTTAACCTAGCTGTTTTGTTTTTAACCTATAAATCTGTCACTTTTTACAGATCGGGTAAGAGTATTAAACACTGCAAAATTCAGTTCGAAGGGCGTTTGTACACTGTTGGATCTAGGGCATTTGAGAGCCTGGTTGAATTAATAGATTATTATAAACGAAATCCTTTTTACAAGCGAACGAAGCTGAGTCATCCGGTGTACCGTGATCAGTCTGGGAATGCTGATACAGTATGTATTTTCTTTCATTGATATTAGTAATTAATTGGCAAATAATCCACCATACCTGTTCATAATCCTGAACAGGTAACAGTGAAAGCTATATATGATTATAAAGCCAAAAGGGATGATGAATTAATTTTAGTAAAACACGCTATAGTAACAAATGTGAATCGTCACGATGGGGGATGGTGGAGAGGCGACTATGGAGGTAAAAAGCAATGCTGGTTTCCTGCTAATTACGTCGAGATTGTTGAACCTATCAGAAATCACGATTTCGTAAGTAATTGTTTATAGTTTTTACTTTGTCGATTACATAGACAGTGACGGTTAATTTTTAGTCTAATGTTTAAACAAATATTTCTGTCCTTAGCTTTCAAATTCCGCGATCCATGAAAATGCACGCGAGAAGGGCTCGTTAGATGTAGTCGGAATGACTGCTAAATTACTGACAGGAGAGAAAAACAATTTAGAATGGATTTTACGAATAGAAAATTCAATCGTAGGAGGTGCTTTAGACGCAGCTGCCTCTTCGAAGGATGTCGCTGTTGACTGGATGAATACCATCAACGAAACTGCGCAGAATGCTATTGCTAAGGTATGGCAATTTTTAGCAGATTGTTTTAAGTGTTCTGATATTATTTTGTTTGATTTGCAATGTAACGATTTTCATTTAATTTTTTAGGAGCACCAGAATAAGGAAAATGAACGAGTGTGGAAGGTAGCAAAGGAGATGTCTAATCTAGTTGTGTACTGTCGGACTGTCGTATTCAACGCGGAGAGGATTAAAGCCAAAGGTTTCATTTTTACCGAAATGAGCAGCTTCCCAGAGAATAAAGCAGAGAAAATAATGTGTCATCAGGAAAATAAATTATTTCTAAGGTATCATCAGGTAAAATCGTAAGCATAAATAAAAATAAAGTATACGTCGGAATGGTGTCTAAAAATAATTATTCTTAAATATTCTATATTTATAGATTCAAGTCAGCAGAGTCTATCCTAAAGGTCAGCGGATAGATTCCTCCAATTATAACCCAATGCCTATGTGGAATTCTGGTTGCCAAATGGTTGCATTGAATTACCAAACTGGTGATAAGCCAATGCAACTCAACCATGCCAAGTTCAGAGACAATGGCAATTGTGGATACATCTTAAAACCAGAGTTCATGTTCGATGACAATTTCTGCCCATATGATAAGAGTACATTGCGTGCTGTCGAGAAATATACGGTTAATTTACGTGTAATCGCAGCAAGATATTTAAGCAGACCGGGAAGGTGTATTTCTAATGCATTTGTCCAGGTTGAAGTTGTTGGAGCAGATTTTGATGCTGGATTAAAATTGACAACGAGACCTATTGGTAAATGCTTTTGGTATTCATTCACTTAAGTATTAAATACGTTCGAAAAGGTAATGGATCTTTTCATTTAATTTCACAGTTGATAATGGTCTGCACCCAACTTGGAACGAATCGTGTGAATTTTTGGTAGAAAATCCACACTTTGCCCTGCTTCGATTCGTTGTAGAAGACGAAGATATGTTTGGAGATACTAATTTCATTGGGCAAGCTACTTATCCAGTGTGTACTAATTCTTGCAATTTTTTCCCTGAAATTTTAATTGACTTGCTAATGTTACATCACAGATTTATTTCAGTTCCTCTGTTTACGAACTGGTTACAGGAGCGTTCATTTAAGAAACAGTTACAGCGAAGACATAGAACTCGCTTCACTTTTAGTACATATCAAAATGAAAAAAGCATCGGTAAGAAAAAATATTAGATGTATAAATTTGTTAAAAGCTAGAGACAAAAGGTCGCGTTAAATTGAAGTTGATATATTAACGTCTCATTAATATTTAATCTTTATATTTCTTTTCTTAAAGGAACCGAAACGAGGAAATGCATATGAGATCTGTGGAGAAGAAGAAGTAACTTAATAGGTTAAAATTAATAATTTATTATGTACTTACTCAAAACCAGTTTTGTCGAATGATTCCTGTATATCTGTTAAGCAACTTGTATCGTAGATTTGTATCCTTTTATACTTTACGTTTTATTGACAAATAATTTAAAGAAACGACGGTTCAATAAATATTGTATACAAATGATCAGGAGCGATCTCAGTGATATTTTATCTTTATTATAACCGCGTTTCCATGGTCGTGCGTTGGGACAAAGGAATAATTCCATACTTAGTCGAAACACGAACTCGGTTCCCTGGCATTACACTACTTTACCTTTTGATTTGAGTGCTGAATGTAAAAGAACAGTAGAAAGTATCAACGTTTCTTAACTGCGCTGAGACACGAATCCGGTCCTGGTTTTTGAAAAGAAAGCCTCTTCTACCTTATATTTCATCAGACATCTGAAACGAGCCCATCGGTCAAAGTTACTTCATAATTGTAGCATCGGCTACAAGAATTTACATTCTCCAATTCTTTTTTGCCAGAACATTACAACTCGCGTGTCGTATCTCGTTATATAGTACCTCCTACTCTCAGCCCCCCTCCTTTTTTTTTAACGATCATATTACTTTAAACAAGTCGTAATAAGGGAATAAATAATCTTTACGATCCTCGTAGGAACTGTTGAAATCTCCTTAACGTGACTTTTACGATATTCGAGAAACCGACGAGCTTAAGAAGGAAAACTAAATCATCCCCATTATTAGCCATTAGACATTAAAAACGAATCCCATTTATCAAGACGTATATTGGAGGAGGAGTATTAGTCCGAGAAGAGTAGTAAAAAAGCGGAGACTTGTACACCACTCGAATACCGGTTTTTAGGGGGTTTCAAAAAGAACATTCAGTCGCATAAATCATTAAACGTCCCAGACGATCCCAGTGGTTAAAGTTACCTCATTATGCAAGTATGATTGTTTTAAATAAAGGGTCTGTGCCTGTAATCGAGGGCCGGTAATTAGGAATTCCACGAAGGAGAATGTATCCTGGAAACGTGTTGGGCAGCCTGACAGAATTTACAACCGAATCGTTCAATCGGATGGAATTATAAATTGTTTCAAGAATGTAGAGAGGAATGTAAATTAAAATCATATACTGAATAATTAATTTTCAGCAGTTCTGTCTGGTCGAAAGGCGGCTTAGTTAATTCCTCCGAGAGTCGAAGAACTTGATGGAGCAATTTCGGAGGTTTTGCGTCATGGCGAGGAAAAGAGCTGGGTGGGCCATGTTGGGAGAAAAAAACAAGGCCGGCTCTCCTTGAACGGGAAACAGGTGCTCGAGACTAAACGGAAGTCGTGTTTCGCGTCATGATTTTAAGAGGAAGTTCACTCGTTATCCACGGGGTGACATCCGGTTCCGATTCTCCGACACCTCTGGCTTCCGAGAAAGGGGAAAAGCCGACATGCACAATTGCACAATGGACCACCTAAGGAGGGTCTACTTCAGGCAGGGTCTTTTTATGATATCGTATGACACTTAGAATAGGTACATTTGCATCGATCCGGTTTAAAATGTTTCCTAGAAGGTTTCGAGCTCGTATAAAAATTTTTTAACTCAACTTTTACCCGGCCCATAAAAGAGGCGGCGTCGCGGCTAAATAATGCAGACATTTTTAAGCGCAATACTTCTTAATATGCATCATCTGTAAGTGATGAAATTTCCGTTTATTTAAAACTTAGAGGGTAGGGTAACTCATAGCTTTTAGTATGAAAGTTTTATTATTTTGTCCTTTACGGCAGGATGTGCCTGCTTCGGTTAGAGTTACACGTCGAACTTTCGGACGAAGTTTCAGCGTTCAATTTTGGTTGACGTTACAGCGGAGATTACTCTATCCGCAGAGTTAAAAGACTATAAAGGTGCCCTACGGATATCAGTAGTTCATCCTATTCTTGCATAATTCTCGTTAAAGGGCGCGGAAAGTTCCGAAATTACCGAATGCTTCCCGAGGGACCGGAGGAGGCTTACTTCCGGAAAACTGATTGCATGGCAAATCATCCCTTGATCGGATTATTAAATATGATATTTCATTTTCAACGAGCGCCCGGTAAATTTCCATTGAAAATAGATATGCCAGGTCCTGAAAAGTGACGAATGCACTTTACATGCATTACATGCGGTACGTTACATACAGCCAGCCGCACTACGGAAGCCTCGTTGTAATGGATCGGACCTTCGTAATTGAAGGAAACTGATATAGGGTCGAGAGGGGTCGCTGCATGAATACGAATGGAATTGTAAGCCCCCGAAATAATCGATCGGGTCGCATTACATATGAAATTACAAGGGATTCGTTGATCGGCCCGCGAAAATGGGAAGTTGACCGACGAATCGAATATTTCCATTTTGAAATTCCACCGACCGCCCGCGAAGCCCTTTACTCGGGTTTCCACTTTTTAATTAAAAAACACGTTATTATTTGCCGGTCTTCGTAACTTTGTTCCTTTTTCGGAGTTCCAATTGACGGATCGCGGGGGAACAATTTTTTAATCTGCTACGTCACTGGGGCTTTCCAAGGTATACGTAAAGTCATCCGCGCAGAGCGCGGTGCAAATGAAATTCTACCCGATATGGGGTTACCAATCTATAACCTGTATACTTCCAGCCGAGTGGACTTGCAACGTTTCGGCAAGCTCTTTCGAAAGCGAAATTCGCTCGTTCTCGATCTCAGAAACTCTGGCCCCAAAATGGTCTTTATAAGTACTCTCAATCAACCTACAACCTACTAAGCGGCGTTCTCCAAAATGGCGGCCGAGGTCAATACACCGAGATAACTGAATAAAGTCAGCGAGGAGACTTCCGGCCCTAATTATGTAGATTGCAGATAAACGATCGATCGGATCGAAGCATAGGAAGATTCCATGAGCGCGGGCCGAAAAAGCGTCGAAGGATAGCAAACGGTATCAGGATTTCCAGAAATTAAACAGTTTTCGCTATTCAAAATCTGACGGTTAATTTTCTTACAACGTCGTCCTTCCTTCATGTCCACGTTATACATCATTTTGAGCCCCAGACTTCACTACATTTTCCGAACAACAATTACTACAAATATTATTTTTTATTTCCATTCTTATAGGTCGTCCAGGACATTCTCGAGTTTCAAGACTCTCGTCTCCGCCGTGGAAATGCATCGCGAATTTGCTTCCCTTTCATTTTCAACGAAACAGCCTAAGTAAACCAGCAATTAATATTTAAAAAACTGTTTAAATTGTTATCAAAATCTAGTGTCTGCGCTTTAAAATGGTGGGTGTACCCGGATGTAAGCAAAAGAGAAATACATTTGGGGACCAAAAGTCAAATTTTCAAGTGCAAAAACCGCAATACCTTCCTGGGGAGCCTCGTATCCTCGGAGTCCTCGTATCCAGGTGAACAGGCGATTCTTGGGGAATCGGGCCGGAATGGCCGCGTCTGGTTCGGTTTTCGTGAAAGCCTTGCGGTCGGTCCGCGACTCCTGTCACTCGAGCAGGCATCCACCCAGGGCTTCCGCGGCGTGCTCGTGGCGTCGCAACCCGAGGTGGCTACGGCCGTGGAATAAATTGAGAACCTGGAAAGGAGGGGCGCACACCTGTCTGAATCTCGGGTAACGAGCCAACAAAAACGTAAGGCCGCGCCGTCGACCCGAGGCGGCCGGGAACGGCAACCGGTTCGAGCCGATCCGAACCGTGCCGAATGGATCCGAAACGGCCGAGTCGCGCTCGGGTTGAGGGCGTCTTTTAGTCCACAACAGTCCACAAACTTGAAATAATCGATTTTTCAAGTAAAATTTCTCATAACATGATAATAGGTGTAACCTTAAAATATCATTCACGTGTTACGAAACAGAGTCGGTTTCGAAAATGCTCTTTTATTAAAAATGTTAAGGGCGTCTTCTAGTCCATAAACCTACAAAAATTCATTATCATGTGAAACCTCTCATAACATGGTAATAGGTGTAACGTTTGCATGTTACGAAATAGAGCCGACTCCAAAATTAAAAATATTAAGGGCGTCTTTTTGTGAATTTTTCATTTTTCCTCGAAATATCTCCGATCATTGTCCAGGGTAAATTTAGTAGAATCTAGAAACACGTGAGAACAAAGTCGACGGGAAGAGAGCGTGTAGTTTCATAGTAATTAATCCCCGAAGAGGAGCGGAAAAACGGACCCCTAGACTAGAAAAGCCCCTTAAGGCAAAGGGAGGGATTAAGCGGAAAGTAAAGCCAAAAGTAGCTCACGCGTCTAGCCGTGTCGAGACGACTTAATTTTACTTTTACCATTAACTTTGCCTTTAACTTTAGCCCATATTTAGCGCGGCCTACCCTTTGCCGGTTTTGACTGAACATCCTCCTGGCGTATCCTGACTGAAGATCCTCCAGAGCCGCGACCGTCGATGCTCCTGCAAATGCCGCATGGATCGGTTTATCGATTTACCTGCCGAATTTGACGCGTTTACGTAAAACCGTTGATACGTCCCGCCGATCACTTTTCGACCAATGCAATTAAGGGCTGCTAACCGAACGGTAATACACGAGAGTTCTCTAATCGCCCTGAGCGTAAACGCGGACGCAGACAGCTACGACTGGACCGGGTGTACCGATAATTGACCACCCATCAGCAAATGGCCATTGCCGGGCATTTCAAGTAGAGGACGGTCTCCAGTGGTTGATCGTCGAGCTCTCCTCTGCTAGACCAAGACGTTTCCAACTCGGCTCTGGGAAGCATTTTGTCAAGGATTAATTTTTATCTCCTACCCTTCCGAGTCGTTAAACCTGGCCTCGAGCGTCCACCGGGGATATCGGGCTAGTGAAGCATGCTCCGTTGATTTTAGTTAGCTTCCGATCGTAATCTCGACGTCACCCACGTTGGGGGGAACAACTCGCGTACAGGTGCTCGCATATCACCGTGCACGTACGCGCCGTAACTCCCAGGACGTGTGTAGTGGCTGTGAATATGGGCACTCGTTGCTGACCAGATCCCGGGATAAGGTGAGAGACGGTCCACGACGCCTACTCGGTCTGCTTCCTAAAAAATAAACGAAATGCAAGCGGAGTTGACATTTTAGGGCCGAAATGGAGCGACCGACTGGACGATCAGCTGATCTCTATGGCCATAAACGTGGATGGAGTCCGTTCCAAGATCCGGCTGCCGCCGTGTACCTAAATAAAAATA